ACGCAATAATATCTGTATAATAGAGAGAGCAGAAGAAGAGGAGGAGCAAGGGATAGAGAACCTCCTTGAAAAAGTAATGATGGAAAATTTCCCTAATTTGAGGAGAGAAAGGCTCTCATGAATCCAGGAGGCACAGAGGACCCCACTCAAGAGGGACTGAAGGAGGTCCACTCCAAGACACATCATCGTTAAAATGGCAAATGTCAAAGACAAAGAGAGAATCCTCAAGGCAGCAAGGGAGAAGGAGAAAGTAACATACAAGGGGGCCCCGATATGCCTAGGAGCTGACTTCTCAACAGAAACACTACAAGCCAGAAGGGAATGGCAACAAATATTCCAAGTCATGAAAAGCAAGGGCCTACAGCCAAGGCTGCTCTACCCAGCTAGGCTCTCAATTAAAATAGAAGGGGAAATACGGAGTTTCCCAGACAAGAGAGGATTAAAAGAATACATCTCTACGAATCCAGCACTCCAAGATATGCTAAGGGGCCTGGTTTAAGAAGATGAAGGAAAAGAATGAGAGAGAGAGGAACACAGGTACAAAGAGAAAACATGAGTAAGTTTCTATCAATATCTCTCAATGTAAATGGACTAAATGCCCCAATCAAAAGACACAGGGGAGCTGAATGGATAAGAAAACATGACCCACACATATGCTGCCTACAAGATACCCATCTAAGAGCCAGAGATCTACACAGATTGAAAGTAAAGGGATGGAAAAAAAATATTCCAAGCAAATGGGCAAGAGAAAAAGGCCGGGGTTGCCATACTTGTATCAGACAAAGTAGATTTCAAAACAAAGGCCATAAAAAGAGACCCAGAGGGGCACTTTATCATACTTAAAGGAAGAATCTATCAAGAAGACATCAACATTGTAAACTTATATGCTCCCAATATAGGAGCCCCCAAGTTTATAAGGAAAATGATGGATGACTTGAAAAAAGATAGAGACAGCAACACACTGATAGTAGGGGATTTCAACACCGCACTGTCAAAAATGGACAGATCTTCCAAACAAAACATTAATAAATATATTGTGGCGCTGAATGACACACTGAATCAAATAGACTTAACTGACATATATAGAACCTTACATCCCAAAGAAGAAAAACACACATTCTTTTCAAATGCTCTTGGCAATTTTCAAAGATAGACCACATGATAAGACACAAAGCAAACTTCAGCAAATTCAGGAAAATTGAAATAATACCAAACTTTTTCTCAGACCACAAGGGCTTGAAACTGGAAATCAACCTCAAAGAGAAACTTCAAGAACTTGCAAAGTCATGGAGACTGAACAGTAGACTATGGATCAATGAATGGGTCAATAATGAGATAAGAGAAGAAATCAAAAAATTTATGGACACAAAATGTAAAGACAACAGTCCAAAACCTATAAGACAGAGCGAAGGCAGTCCTGAGAGTAAAGTTCATAGCAATACAGGCTTATCTAGAAAAGATAGAAACATTTCAAATAAAAGATCTACCACTACAACCTCAAGAACTGGAGAAACAACAACAAATAAATGCCAGAGCAAGTAGAAAGAAGGAAATAGTCAAGATTAGAGCAGAACTGAATGACATGGATACGAAAAGAACGATTCAAAGGATCAACCAATCCAGAAGCTGGTTCTTTGAAAAGATAAATAAAATTGACAAGCCTTTAAGCAGACTCATCAAGAAAAAGAGGGAGAGGACACAAATTAATAATGTCAGAAATGAAAGAGGAGAAATAACAACTGACACCACCGAAATACAAAGGATTGTAAGAAACTACTATGAACAATTATATGTCAAGAAATTTGAAAACCTCGATGAAATGGACAAATTTCTAGTAGAGTATAATCTTCCAGCACTGAAGGAGGAAGAAACAGAAAGCTGGAACAGACCGATAACAGCTGGGGAAATTGAAGCAGTCGTTAAGAAACTCCCAGCACACAAAAGCCCAGGGCTGGACGGTTTCACAGGAGAATTTTATAAAACATTTAAGGAAGAGCTAACCCCTGTCCTTCTCAGACTATTCCAAAAAATCCAAGAGGAGGGAAGACTCCCAGACTCCTTCTATGAGGCCAGCATCACCCTGATCCCAAAACCAAATAAAGACCCTACAAAGAAAGAAAACTACAGGCAACTTCGCTGATGAACATAGATGCTAAAATCCTCAACAAAATACTGGCAAACCGCATCCAGCAATACATTCAAAAGATTACCCACCACGATCCAGTGGGATTCATCCCAGGCATGCAGGGATGGTTCAATATACGCAAGTCAATAAACGTGATACATCACATAAATAAAAGAAATTACAAAAACCACATGATCATCTCGATAGATGCAGAAAAAGCATTTGACAAGGTACAGCACCCATTTATGATCAAAACACTCAGCAAAATGGGAATAAATGGGGCATTCCTCAACGTAATAAAGGCCATATATGAAAAACCTGTAGCCAACCTCATACTCAATGGGCAAAAACTGAAAGCTTTCCCACTAAGATCGGGAACACTACAAGGATGTCCGCTCTCACTGCTTCTTTTCAACATGGTATTGGAAGTCCTAGCCACAGTGGTCAGACAAGAAAAAGAAATAAAAGGCATCCAAATAGGAAAGGAGGAAATAAAGCTATCATTGTTTGCAGATGACATGATAGTGTACATAGAGAACCCTGTGGACTCTACCATAAAACTCCTCAACCCATTAAGTGAATTTGGCAAAACGCAGGATACAAAGTCAACATTCAGAAATCAAAGGCATTTTTGTACACCAGCAATGCAATAGAAGAAGAAGAAATTAGAAATAAAATACCATTCGATATAGCAAGAAGAAAAATAAAGTACCTAGGAATAAATTTAACCAAAGAGGTAAAAGACCTGTATGCAGAAAACTATACAACATTGAAGTAAGAAATTAAGGAAGACACAAATAAATGGAAGCATATACCGTGCTCATGGATTGGAATAATTAATAACATCAAAATGTCCGTACTACCCAAAGCGATTTATAGATTCAATGCAATCCCCATTAAGATACCAATGATGTATTTTACAGAAATAGAACAGATATTTCTAAAATTTATATGGAACCATAAACGACCCCGAATAGCTGCAGCAATTCTGAGAAAGAAAAACAAAGTAGGAGGGATCACAATACCAGACAGCAAACTATACTACAAAGCCACTATACTCAAACAATCTGGCACTGGCACAGGAACAGACCTTTAGACCAGTGGAAGAGAATAGAAAGCCCAGAAATAAGCCCAGATCTATATGGGCATCTAATATTTGACAAAGGGGGCAGAAGCATAAAATGGAGCAGTCATAGCCTCTTCAACAAATGGTGTTGGGAGAGCTGGATGGCTACATGCAAAAAATTGAAATTGGATCATCAGCTGACACCATGCACAAAAATAAACTCAAGGTGGATAAAAGACTTAAATAGAAGTCGCAACACCATCAAAGTCCTAGAGGAGAACATTGGCAGGAAACTCTCAGATATCCCACGCAGCAATTTTTTCACTGATATGTCTCCTAAAGCAAGGGACATAAAGGAAAGAATAAACAAGTGGGACCTCATCAAAATAAGAAGCTTCTGCACGGCAAAAGAAAATATCAGCAAAATGAAAAGGGAGCCAACCGTATGGGAAAATATATTTGCTAATGATACATCAGATAGAGGTTTGATCTCCAAGATATATAAAGAACTCACTTGACTCCACTCCAAGAAGACAAATGATCCAATCAAAAAATGGGCAAAGGACCTGGGCAGATGCTTTTCCAAGGAGGAGATACAGAGGGCCCAGAGGCATTTGAAGGGATGCTCAGCATCACTAGCCATCAGAGAAATGCAGATCAAAACCACCATGAGGTACCACCTCACACCGGTCAGAATGGCCATCAGAAACAGATCCACAAACAACAGGTGCTGGTGAGGCTGTGGAGAAAAGGGAACCCTAGTACACTGTTGGTGGGAATGCAGACTGGTACAGCCACTGTGGAAGACGGTGTGGAGTTTCCTCAAAAAGCTGAAAATGGAACTGCCTTTTGATCCAGTGATTCCCCTGCTGAGACTATACCCTAAGAACACCAAAACGCCAATACAAAATAACCTATGCACCCCAATGTTCATAGCAGCACAATTTATAATAGCCAAGTGTTGGAAGCAACCTAAGTGTCCATCAGGAGATGATTGGATCAAAAAATTTTGGTACATATACACAATGGAATACTACGCAGCAGAAAGGAAAAAAGAACTACTAAACTTCGCGGCCACATGGATGGAACTGGAGAGCATTATGCTAAGCGAAATAAGCCAGGGGGCAAAAGACAAATACCATATGATCTCACCTATAAGTGTGACCTAACCAACAATACAAAGATGCAAGGAATATAAGACCAGCAACACTGACAGGAAAAGAAATCAACAGAGACAAGAGGGAAGGAGGGAGGGTGGGCGGGGAAAAGGAAGGGAAGGGGAAAGTCAAGGAACATATAGCAAAGACTCATGGACAAAACCGAAGGGGAAGAGTTGAGGTAGAGAAGGAGGGAAGTGACAAGGGAAAGTGGTAGGGGGTAGGCAGGGACAAATGTATTTGAAAATAAAATTAAAAAACATTTACTAAATAAATAAATAAATAAATAAATAAATAAATAAATAAATAAAAAGATAGAACACTTCACCAAAAAAAAAAAAAAATGTTAAAACACATGAAGCAATCAGTGAATGCACAAATAATTGGACTACCAACTCTTTCTCTCTCCCTCCACCTTCTCTGTCTAAAATAAATAATAGGTGGATAAAAAAAACAAATAAAAGCAGCTCGAGGCACAGGACAGCGTGAACCCAGAATGCTTCTCAGCTTGCTAAACCCCTAGATACCCTGCTCTGGGCCACAAGCTGAACTGTGACCTCCCAGGAGTGGCACAAAACAGCAGGAAGCACATGCACCCTGATGCTTCCCAAACAGCGTTGCCCCTACCATCTCTGGGGTCTGAGAACCTTACATGGTACAGCTGGTCCACCTGGGCCCAGCGTTGCACATATGCTTCATAATCTGCAAACACCTTAAACGTGAAAGAGGAGACAGGAGATCCGGAAACCAGCAACCAGGCCACGGCTGTCTGTGTCCTCACGCTCTGGAACCCACCTGGCCGTAGGGGCTGCTCTGTGAGCAACACTAATGCCTTGGGGACACTATTCTTGAAAAACCTTAGTTTCGCCCAATGTTCCTTTAAAGAAATTAAGTGTTTATAATGCACCCTCCTGGTGCACATAGGTTAGAGCTGTACAACTGAAACGACTCTTCCCTTTCACCTCCCAGGGAGAAGGGCACAGGACGAGAGGCAAAAGGCTCTATGTAGCTGTCTGTTCTCAGGTCCAACTGAGAATTGGAGTCAATTCTCAGCATTTACCAGACCTAAGTTTTACTAATAGGTTGCAACAAAGTATTGTCATGTGGCAAGTGGCACTGCCAACCTATTCCAAGTTAGTAAGTTTGTAACTGAAGGTGAGTTATAATCATGTGTCAACTGCATTGTAATAAAACATGAATGACACTGCAAGTGTAGTTAATTCCATTTTAATTACTTTTTGTCACCATGTTTCACATTTGTTATAGGGTTATACCCAGCCCTATCCACCTCCCAGAGGTGTCCTGACCATACTCGCACAGGGGAAGAAAGGACTCTGGAATTATTTCCTATCAGCCCCGTATGACATTACCTCCTGCTTGTCACATCCAGATGGTCAGCTGGTACTGGGGGCCTGGGGCTGGACTGCACAGTGGACAATTCCTGCCACCACAGTCCCCCCTCCACAGCTCCCCAAACACCACAAAAGACATTGCAAGCTCTTGCCCTGGGTGTAGTAGAACTTTTCAAAGTGGGTGGCCTGAGGATCTGCCCATGGGCCACAGTTAGGGGGATGTGTGTGTATGAACAAGCTTCAACAAGGCCAGGTTTCGCCCTCAACAGCATGCAATTTTCAGCCCATCATGGGGACCTGCCTATCTGACCTGTCAGTGGGGAAGGATATAGGACAAAGGGGAGGCTGGTCCCGCCTCTCCTGGTTCAGCAGCATGTTGACAATGTCCTTGAAGCAGTCTGGCTCCTTTGGGAGAGAAGCCATTGATGATCTGGTCCATGGCCTGCCTTAGCTCAGGCAGACAGTTGTAGTACTCTTGGGCATTGTACCTGTGGGGAGGTTGATCAAGTCAGCTGTTAGCCCAGTGTGTCCAGGCAACAGCTATGGGGCAGGCAGTAGGCACACCCCTGGCCATGTGGGCTCTGTGGGCCCTGGAGAAATGGTGATGTGTGGTGATCGTAAAATCAATCCCACCTGCTCTTTTTACTATTTATAGAACGAAGGTCCCAGAAGATGTGCAATGGCACACATGGCTCCATCATATTCCCACAAGAGAGAGCTGCTCAAGAATTTGCAACTCTGTGCATTCCCACCCTGCGTCCTGCCCCAACCCCTGCAGGACACAACAGGCCTGCAGGCATCAGGAAATCAGAAAGGGAGGCATTTCACAGATATGCATGTTCTAGGACATGGGGATGGTGCAGAAAGAGTCCAAATAATGGAGCACATGGGTTCTATGCTCTCAGGCTGACAAGGACAACATTCTGACTTTTTAGGTGACCTTTGGCTTTTTTTTTTTTTTAGGTGACATTTGGGTTTTTACCCAACTGGTACCTGAGGCCTTGCCAACTCCTCAAGGAGCTTTTAGGCAATGCTATCTTTTCTTTTTAATTATTGCTCAGAATTAGGCTGGGGCTAATATTTCTCAAGAGTGTCCAAGGTTATGAAAAATAAGAAAAGGCTGAGAAATTGTCACAGACCAGAAGGATGCCCTGGTTGAGATCCTGGGACAGAAAAGGTCAATGGGATATTCATGGGAAAATGGTGAAATAAAGTATTGGCTTTAATAAATAACAACATACCATTATTCGTTAATTAATTTCGGCGATGTTCCATACTAATTAGTAATATATAAGTAATAGGAAAAACTGGAAGGGTATGTGGAACTCTGTACTGTCTTTGTGTCTTTTCTATAACTCAAACTATTCCTAGACAAAGGGTTATTTTATAAAGTTAGGCCAGGGAATCTCAGCAGTGGGCCAGCCTCAAATCTCCAAATCAGTCAAGAGCCCCAAGGGCTTTCCCCACAGAGACCATGGCCTCTACCCTTTTGGAAGAACTTGATCTGGATCCCTCAGACTGAACCATGGAGAAGCACGGGGCAGCCAGCTCCTGCCCAAGCTGGAGGTGAGCAGACAAGGCCAGGATGCATCCCATCACCTGGGCAGGCAGGCATGCATCCTGAGAAGCAGAGGCCTGGCCAAGATCCCTTTATAGCCCTTCCCGGGACTCTAGGCAGTGCCCAGGACAATGCCACACCCTTGATGGCATGGGGAGGGACACACTCTGATCCAGGGCCTCAATGTCTTCCACATGCAAGCCAAAGATAAGGTTCTCGGCCCTGGCTTCCTCAGCCTTCGTCACATTGGCACTGTCCTTGATACCAATAGCGAGGGCCCCGTTGAACATAAATGTCATGTTGCCTGTACCTGGGGCCTCAGTGCCTGTGGTGGGGATCTTCTGTGATAGGTCAGCAGCAGGGATCACTGCAAGGAGGGTAGTACAAGAAGGCATATCAGCCACCAACTACTCACACTGTGAGTCATGGAACCACAGAAAACACCCTGCTCTCATCCTGACCCAAGGCTGGAGCTCACTCCAGGACAAGCCAGAGCCTGCAGGTGGCTGAGCCTGGGCAATATCCACCCCACACGAGGGCTCCCCTTCTTGATCCAGGGCAGCCTGAGACAGAGGGATAAGAGGGGCCTCCCAAGGAAAAGCCTTGCAGGTGGCAAAGGACCTTTGTTCTAAAACCTTCCAGGGATAAGAATCCAACCAAAAGCTTGATGGAGCCCCTGGCTTTGACCTATTGGTATGGTCACTCCCTTTCTTCCCAATACCACTTTTGTCTTATTCAAAAGTCTGTAAGTCTCATTAGATCACTTCAAAAGGAATCTGGACTCTTATGGAACCAGAAGACTAGAAAATGAAGGGGTGGAGGGGCATTTTCCTCCTATTCAGTTACTCTGTGGTCTCTGCAGACTGGGTCCTACAGCCACTCCTAAGTGTGGGTTCCTTGTACCTCCTCTGTCCCACCTGCCTTGTGGCATCCCTGTTCCCACATCCTCAGCTCATCTGTGGAGCTACTTCCCTAACCCAATGGCTGGCACTCAGGGCCAGCAAGACCAGAGCCTAGCCCTTCTTCAAGGTCAAAGGCAGGTGTCAGGGTAGACTCAGGCATCTTGGCTCCCATGCAGGCTCACCCCACAGGCAGATGACACAGAAAATGTGACAGTGAACATATTGTCACAGCAAGTCTAAAAGCTGGAAGAGAATGTGGGGACCCTGACCCCAGGTCTGAGACCCAGGCTGGGTGCCCCCAAAGCCTAGTCTAAAGAAGCATGGGAGGGCCTGGCCAGTTGTTTAGAGTGTCACCCCAATATGCCAAAGTTGCAGGTTCAAATGATCCCCCATCGGGGCACATACAAGAATCAATGAACACACAACATATGTGCGCACTCTCTCACACAAATCAATAGATAAAAAAAAAAAAAATAGCACAGGAGCTGGCCCCAAATAGCTGGGCAGGGGCGGGCAGAAAGTGGGGGAGGAATTCCAGGCAGCAAACAGCTGTAGATGCTTAAGAGGCTTACTGAAGGATTAACCACATGTGGTCCATGGCAGTGGGGACCACAGGAATATTCTGATGAACTGGACTATCTGATAAGAGGAGAGAGCTTGTACAACTTGTTTACTCAGACAAAGCCTAGGAAGCAGCAAGTGGTTGTCTGAACCATGGGGATGCCTGCTACATGGTACTGGAATTCAAAGCTCAGCTTTGCATTATTTGGTTGGGCAGAGGCTTTCCTGCCAGTCTCCAGAAGTAGGCAGTTTAGAAAGGCCTGTACACATCAGGATACATCTGGCTGCCTTCTCCAGATGGCAGCTCACATCCTGAGCAAGTCTTCCCAGGACCCCCTGAAGTGGAGCAGCCTCGGACTGAACTCTCAATAGAGCAGGGCAGGATATCAGGCCCCGAGCCACCCTTGGAAAGGACAGAAGAGGTAAGTGCTGGCCCAGGTGAGAAGCAGACAATGCTGTTTTGAGGGTAAAGAGGTGGTGATGGGCAGAAGCAGCCTCTAGGGGTGGGGGATGGAGTGAGAGTGAGCAAGAGTGAACCCAGCAGCAGAAAGGCAAAGCTGAGGGGCCAAGAAACGGGGAACGGGGTGGGACAATGAGATCAGAGTGAGAGGGAGAAAGTAAAGAGACAAAGAAAATTCAAGGTTGAGAGTAATTCTTCACACTTAAGGACAGACAGAGTTCCCTAAAGACTTCCAATGCTACAATGAAGGACCCTTTGGCTGGGGGGCCTGCTGTCCAGGGCAGAGTTAACCCCTGACCAGCAACAACCTCCCAGAGTTAACCCCTGACCAGCAACAATATCCAGGAAGGGGCAGGCTTTCCAGGTTACCATGGCCTCCCCAGGAGTACCATTTTCAGCCAAGGATACTCAGTAGTTTTCTAGGAAGATCACTTTGAGCCTGTTGCCCACTACTGTGCTTGACAACATCAATGATGGATGTAACTAGCTTGATAATAATCTTGGCCATGTGATAACCAGGAGCTGCCTGGAAAGAGGAGGGAAAGTTAAGCATAAACACACCGGTGATTGGGGCCAGCATCATTACTGGTCATTGGAGCCTGGTGCTGGACATGCTGAGGTCATGACTAGCTAAGTGGCCCCTTGGTGTCTGGGAAGGGTGGCTCTCCAGAGTGGCTGAAACCATGGCATCCCTGAACATCTTCCACTCAATCTGGCAGACAGACTCGTGACAGAAGAACCTGAACCCCTACCGGATATGACGCTCCACCTGTTTTCCCTTGGCTCTGACAGAGTGCATTTCAAGACAGCGACCTCATCCATATGCAGAAATCTGTCAACCTCAAGCTTGTTTTCTGATTCTAGTCAGTTTTCAGAAATTAAGAGACAAAAGGAACAAGACTATTAGAACTGACTACCAATTTACAGGAAATATAGGGAACTAAAAGATACTGAAACATGCCAGAGGGAGGCAGTCAGAACAAGCAAGCAGGGGAAAACACACCAACCAGTTCCTGTAACAAAAATAATTGCAAGGGAAAAAGAGAAACACATAGAGAAAATCTATAGATAAGGGATTTAGGAGGCAGCCATGCTAGGCCATTGCCAGGGTCCTGATTCAAACAAAGTGCTTGACATATTTTTAAATTTAATATCTAGGTGTGACAATGGTCTTGTGTGGTGGTGGTCAAGAGTCTGTGTGTATTGTGGTTTAGGGGGAAAACATCACTGTGAAGATGTGTGAAGTGCTGAAGGGTGAAACATTCTAGTGTCTATGGTTTGCTATGAAACAGTCCAGCAGAAGTCCAGCTTTATGTATGTTCTGCAATTCTTCTTTTCTCTAGGCTTGAAATTTTTAATAATTAGAATTTTTATAACCATCTGAAAACCCGCATCTCTAAAATATGCATATTTAAATACTGAAAAACGAATGTCATGATGTCTAGACTACATTTCAGAAATAGCAAGAGTTGCGGGGGTGGGGTGGGCAGAAACCAAACAAGTTGAGTGTGTGCTGCTGTCTGAAGCTAGTGGGCTCACAGAAGGGCTTGAGTCTCCCATCCACCTTCATATGTCCTTGAGTTGGTGAAAAGGATAGAGCCTGGCTCCACCCTCTGGTATGCCATAAAGAAGCTGTGCCCCAGAACTCCTCACATTCCCTGATGACACCAGGTTGTTGGGGAAAGTGGCAGAGGTTGGGTCCTATAGCACAGAGCATGATGATGAGACCTGCCAGTGCCCAATGGTGATATACTAGACTCCACAATAGTGTGTCCAAAGTATGTGCCACAGTAAATGAAATAAAGCCAAGTGGAGCTCACAGAAGGCTCACATCTGGTCAGGGAAATAGCCAGTGACCTGTATCCTTAGCATGAGTATGTATATGTGTATGTATGTGGGGGGCAGGGAGGTGTACGCTAGGGCCCAAGAGCCAGGCACAACATGGAAGGGTGGTGGTTATGCAGACAAAGGGTACTGCCCCATCAGATGGAGGTCCAAGAAAGCCCACTGGAAGCTGCCCTGGAGGCTGGGGATCCCCCAATCCCATGTGCTGGGCAGGCAGGGATCCCATCCAGGTCCCTCCTATTGCTAAGCTGATGAAGACTGAACTGACTTGGCCTACCTGGGGGCCACAGATCCTCTGGCATTGTGTTAGCACTGGCTCTGAGTGACCCACAGCGCCCAGACCAGTGGGCAGCTGGCATCAAAGTTGGGACCTAGTGGCACTGCTGAAAAGTGTGTTGGTTTGAACAATCTGGCCAAATATCAAGCAAAGAGGAATCATCTCACCTTACTCCGAATTATTATGGTCCTGGGCACAAAATCCCTGGCAGTGTTCTTCCTTTATTCCTGGCAGACAAACAATAGATTTAGGTAAGCCATAGTGGCCAGTGTCCTTAGAGGTCAACCTAACACAAGTGGTAGCCATACTGGATCCCGCACACCCACCAGGAAAGCCCACTTACAGAATAGGAACAAGTTCCCTAGATACTGCACTTGTATCCCAGGGTGGTGAAGAAGGCCAACCAGGAACAGACTCTTCCAAAGGCCCATAGGAAAAGCTGCACCTCTGTTTCCAGAACAGCCCAATATAGGAGCCTGGTTTGAGTCTGGTCACCAGTACTCAAGGCCTTGAACATGACTGGCACTTGAGAAAGGGGTGACCTCAGGATTGTGGTAGTGGCAACATCAGCCCTTGAGAGGTATCAGGCAAGACCCCAAGTTTCCCCGCTCTCCTCCTGAAGCTCTCCTGCACAAGGGCAAACAGATAATCAGGTACTGTGGTTGGCTCACCTTCGGCCCAGTAAACTGAGTGTCCTCACCAGGCTACTTGTTTTCAATTTCAGTGTGTGTTGCGGTACGGGTTGCAGGGGTGATACTCTACACAGGGAGAGACCTAGATGGCATTCACCAGAGAACTGACAACCAGCCATAAGTAGTATAGAGTTGATCTTTAACATCTGACTTCATGTTTTAGAAGGAACATGACTGCCCCTTACTTCTGAATCTTCTCGCTTCCAGAAATCAGACAGAATAACATGGAGTACAGAAAAAAATAAAAACACAAACTATATTTTCACCAAAACTAGGAAAGAGGAAAAACATTCAAACTCCAGACCATAGCCAGTTCTGTCAGGTCACAGGGGTGGATGGGGAACAGGGATGAGAGTGCAAGGGTCTCCAGACTCGGCCTCCTCAGAGGAGTCGTGAGTAATTGAGACAGGGAAGGAGCCCCACGGGGCCAAGCAGGCTGACCTCCTCAGCACCTCTCCTGTAGGGAAACCTTGGGAGGAGGGTCTGATACCCTGGTGGACAGAGGTCCGCAGGGCAGAAACCATGACAGCCAGGCTGGGAAGCCTCATGAGACAGCATGGACTTGGAAGAGACAGAGGAGATGCAGCCACAGAGAGGTACCAGGCCTTGGTGAAGCCTGAAGCTGCCCTGGAGCCCCACAAGCTCCCACTAGTCATCCTGAGCAATGCAGCTTACTCATCTAGGAACTGTAAATGTGAACACAACTTCCCTATAGACAAGGGGAAATGGAACAAAACTCCCTGTGAGAATCTCCAATCTGTGGTGACTGCCCTGTGACATGGAAAGGAGATCACAGAACTAAACCACAAGACCCCAGAAAAGGCCAGAACACAGGACCAAAAATGACTGCCACATGTAAATGCAGCATGATTATAGAAGCCAAGAGGGAAAGCAGACTTGCAGACAGCACAGCAGCCACAGAGAATGGAGATGAGAAGAACAGAGAACCTAACAGAAAAGGGAAGAGCTTGAGAAATGTTCAGAGAGAAAACAATAGGCAAGAAAGCAGGTAACCTCTCCCTTACACACGCACATCTAGCTGGAGTCCCTGAAACAAAACTGTGTCACCAAAAAGTGTTTTAAATACATTTCAAAAAACCTCCCTAGAAGTAATGCAAGACAGCAATTGAGATACATTTAAAGAGCAGCATGAGGATCAGGGAAACTGACCTACAGCTGCCAGCACCCAAACACAGCACAGTAAAATTAGCACAGACAGACCCAAGACACACCAGAACCCACCCTCTAGACAGAGTAGCACAGGGACCTACAGATGCTCAGTGAAAGAAAGTGAACCGAGAATGTTACCTTCAAACCATCCTTCATGTTTATAGAACAAGGACTTGCAGAGTGCAATTCATGGGAGTGGTATTGTGAACTAGAGGGAAATCCAGGCAGGATGGCTGTGCAAAAGACCTGGTGAGCATTAAATGTGTTCATCCACAGACTAAGACAAAAATCAAATCAGGGATGAGGGCAGTAGAGTGTCAACGCTGTATGCCCTAATCATGGAGAAAGCACCTGTACACACATGTACACACCTATGTGCACAGGCAAATGAATGAGGAGGAAATGAGCATAAGCCCCTGAATGACTCACTCAAACAGCTGGGGATTACAAGGTGTCATTAACAGCTGACAAGCCCAGCAGGGAGAATGAATGACGAAGTACAAAGTACAAAGGCACACTTCCGAGGTGACAAAGAGTCTACTGATTGCAGGCAGGGTCACAGTGAGAAGAAGAAAGGGGCGCTGAATGACTTCTCTCCTGCTCATAAGCTGGGTTTAAGGAGGATACTGAGGAAGGAAATCACAAATAAAATGCAGAAAATCATGACTTCAAAAGAAACACATGGCAAATAGAACAGAACAAGATCTACATGAATGACTATATTTGGCCAGGGAATCTGTGTACTAAAGCACCTCCTTCAGCCACACACAGGAGGGTCCTCAATCTGCAGCCTCCTCTGAAGGTTTACAGTCAGAAGCATCAGAAGTACTCAAGCCTAAGCATCTTCTATCCTGTTACTCAACAGTCTCACAAGGAACCACATTCCTACACATGAGTCCTACCTATTGGTAATAGGAGCTCTAATGCTCTTGAAAGGAGATTTTTATATTAAAGAGTATTTGTGGTTTCTTTGGTTTACAAAATTAATACTCAGTTTATTATATTACAAAATTTTAAAAACTAAGTTATTTCTTAAGGTGTTATTATCATATTTGTAAACCTAGCAAATATTCCTATTTACTTTTAGGGGTCTTTGATTTATATTTCCTCATACTTATGTTGCTTAAACAAGCTAAGATAAATGTATAAATTTAATATATACTATTTTGCTTTTTGTAAGTATAATTTAATAAGTAAAAGGCTTTCCAAATAACTCAAGTCTAATAAAGATAATAACTAATTTTAAAACAAAAGCTGAACTGAACAGAAATCCTAGCCCCATGAAGCTCCCTACACCGGGTGCCACACTAACAGCCTGGGGCCATCTATGGTCCTTCTGAGGCATTTAACTATTTGCCTGCCTCATGTAGCTCAGGCCTGTACCACAATCAGACTGGAGACAGAGCTCACTTTTCACTTCTTTGTAACTACTCTGACACTGAGCACACAGAAAAGCATAAAGCTATTGCTTAAAGTAAATGTGCAATGTCACACACAGCACCTTCGCTGCTTGCCTGCATGAGGAAAAGGCTCAGGCTCCAGGATGAGCTAGTGAGCAAGAGTATGAGGCTACACTCATGGTTGTACAGGGTGGTGGTGTGTGGGCAGGTCAGCAGCTGCCACTAATACTCATGGATCCTCTTCACATGCATGTCAAACAATGAGGTGGGGTTGATTCTCGCCTTTACTCCTTCTCCAGGAAGGCAGAGAACTTCATCTTATTTTCCTGGGAAGAATAAAGGAATATACGGTTAAACGGTGCAAAGGAACAAAACCCATAAGCTCCCCAACATCAAATTAATGCTTGGCTTTCCACCTGGACTGAGAATATCTCTGACCCCTCTGTCTGAAACGTGACACAGAGGGAATCCTCAAGGAGGTCTGCTACTGCCCCAGGGGAGTGACGTGAAGACTGGAAGACCACAGCTCAGGGGTAAAGGGGTGGCAGCCAAGTGAGGAAAAGTGGGGGCGGTATGCTCAAGGATGTTCTGCATTCATCCACCCACCCGCCTGCTGTGTGACCTGAGGTCAGTAATGTCCTCATCTGAAAAGCTGAGTGGAGAGGACGGACTTTGAAGCTCCTGGGCCCCAACACACAGAATAGGCAGGGACACTGCCCCACACTAGGTATGAGGCAGTAGGGAAAAGCTGTATGCAGGCCTACCTGCTTGACCTTGGCCATGTACTGATGAGAGAGCCTCATTACTAACCAAGAGCAGCAGTTTCTTCAATTGGCTCAGATCGGTCAAGAAACCCTCCCCAATTTTCTGGAAGATTGAAAAGGGACCTGTGGTTTTGCCTCATTTTGGGACTGTCCTTCCATTTTGTTGCCCAAGTCTTTGTTTTCCAGCTACCCCCATTCACTCTTTGGATCTCAGCTCTGCTGTTCCTTCCCTGACACATATACAGCCCTAGCCAGACATTACCCCTAGAGCTGCCTGCTACATCCTCAAGTCTAGCACACTACCTAGCATGTATGACAGTTCATTTTTTCCGTCCTGAGTGAGCATACAAACCAGTCAATATAACTACCACGTCTTTGACTGACAAAACCTCTTCAGCTACTTGCCTATGGTTTAATGCCTGGCTGGGTGGCCCACCCTAGCCCTTCCTGAAACCTCAGGACCTCGACTCTGAATTCTCCCATGGATCCTGGAGACCACTGACTTACTACCTTGCCTGGCCCAGTGCTCCCATGCCTGGGGGTGGCAGATGGGCCTCACCTATTCCTTTCCAGGAGCCACTGCTGGTTCACACACAAAGGAGAAGTTTGCTGCCCCCTCAGCACCCACTGGCAATGAGTCTGATGACACCAGGTAGGTGGTGCCTTTGGCTATAACCATGGCCACAGTTCCTCGTGGACTCAAAGGTAGCTAGTCTCACCTCCATGATGATGTCAGCCAGCCCTGGGTTACACAGGAGCAACCACTGTTGGGGCATGATGCCATTCATCTTATTCTGGAACTATTCTGGCTCCAGCTCAGAAAAATCCTTAAAGCTAGAACCACAGAAAACAGGCAATGGTGACAAATCCTGTGTTCGTAACAAGGTGAGCAAGAAGAACATGAGGACCTTGTAAGGAAATCCCCTGGAAGGTCCTGACAGTTTTCCTGTTTTGTTTTCTAAAGAATGTAGACCAGTCCGCATTATTGCACACTAAGACAGGAGCAACTGCATTGCACACCTGGAGACAGCAGACATGCAGCACATACTTTTCAATGCACCCCGCAGCTGATGGTGCAGACTAGGATTGGCTATAACCTCAGAGACCTGTAATATTTACATCTGTAAAATGCAGACTGCCCACCCCGTGACTATGGGGATTAAAGCCTCTGGGCAGGCACCAGGAACACAAAAGTCTCCACATGGTCAGGCCTGGTTTAGGACCACATAGAGCTCTCAGAAGTGTGAGAGTAGAAGAAGCTCTAAGATCACATCCCACAGACAAGGGATGGGAAGCACAAGATCTGACCTAAGAATTCCTCCATTCCCACAGTGACCAGCCCCTGCCTATCACACCCTAGCCTCCACCCTATCCAAGCCAGGCCACTCAACCCCAGGTGGGGCCCTCGTGGCACTCAGCCAGCAGCAGATGGCTACAGCATAGGAGCAGAGCCTCTGCCTAGACAGACACACAATGCAGACAAAAGGAGGAGCCACTGGTGGTAAGAATGTTCACCTCCTCAACATCACATACTGGCCAGGTGCTTTGAGTAGGTCAGTCATTGCCCACAAGGGCAGCAAAATAATGGTGTGGAGCATGGGCCATATGCCTCAGCCACTGGGCATATGAGCAGCTGACAGTTCCTAGAGGCAAATGTAGCGTTAGAAAGGAGGTAGCTCAGGGCAAACACAGCATCACTCACACTGACTGCTTTACGATCTCAGAGTGGATCCTAGCCACACCATTGATAGCATGGGATCCAATCACACATAGGTGGGCCATATTAATCCACTTGCAGTCCCCTTCCTCAATCAGAGATATCCTCTGCAGGTGGTCCACATCCCCAGGGAACAGGGCAGCCACTGCTGTTATCAAGACTGAGAGCCATGAGCAGAAGTGCTGAAGTCCCACAGTGGGTTACGGGCTCCCTGGGGGAAGTTTGGGCTCCCTAAAGAAAACCCTGGGGCTGCTGTACCCCAGACTTGCACTCAAATACCCTTGATGCACCCCTGAGAGCCCCTCCTCCCATGTTGCCTCAGTCCAAGGAAAAGCCAAGCCCAACCTGAGGGCTCGGCAAAGCTGCTCTGTCAGTGGCAGACTGGAGAACCAGCAGTGCTAGGGCCATGCCATGTGACTTACAAGGAAAAGATGGGTATGCTGTCGCTGTCGGCCTACATAGGACTTAACCACATTTTGACAGTGAGAATAGCTGCCTTTTCACCAAAAGGTTAAAAAATGAACTATAATCATACCTAAATTTTAAGTCTCCCTGTTCTTATACCACTGTTCTGCAGGTAACAAAGACAACTGCAGGTTTGTTTCCAAATCACCCAACTGCTGCTGCGTCGCACTGTGTGGTGGCAGGGGAGCACCGCAGAGAGCGCAGTGCTCCCTGAAACCTGAGGGGAAACCTGGCTGGGGCCAGCTGAGGTGGGAGCAGGGCTCTGAAACCTGCAGAGCCCATTCAGGGAATAAACACAAAATGTCTCAAACACTTCTCTGTTTGCTGGGAGAGCAGACAGTGCACTTTCCTCTTACCAGAGAAGGCCGTGGCACATCCCTCTAATGGGGAAGGCCCCGTTGTCCTTTGTTCCAAGGGTTTTATTGAAAATCTTATCAGTGGAGTATGTAACAGGAAAGCATATGTACACTTGTTACATTAGCAAGTTTCACAGAGAATAGATACCTTTAGGAAAACAAGTGACAGGAAATCACTGATTTACATGGGTCTGAGAGGAGACTAGAATCAACAATAGAGACTATAGATAAGGAGGAAGTAGACTTAAAGGCGTCTTAAAGATATAGGGTAAAAGGTGTAAATAAAGCAAATGTCTTGACAAGGAAAGGGACGTAAATAATGTGAATGTCCTTCGCAGCATGAGCTGACCAGAGAATTGAGGGGGGACCGAGCACACTCTAAAGAATTTACTTTTAGGCTTGATTACCCCGGGGACCTGCCCAGATCTGATTTAGGGCTCTTTTTCCTGCATTGTTTCAAGCTTGAGCCAGGCCAGGGGAGGGAACCACCAAGAGATAAGGAGACTGCTTCTCGCCTGCAATGAGGAGTCTGGCCTGTCCAAGCCAAGCTGAGAGGTGCAGGGGGCCTTTTTGCCCCTTCTCCATGTCCCCCGATTCTTGTCTGCTGCCAAAATTGGCCAATGCCTGTCTTAGGTCACTAACTTAGCGCGAGGTCACTTACCCCTCATTGGCTAATTGACCCTTCATGGCAAAGCAGAGAGGCAGAGGCTACACCCCTGCCAGGGGGGAGACAGGCCAAGTCTCTTCAGGAGTCTGTTTCTCCAAGGCCTCCTGCTTATTTCCAGCCTTGGGGCCCTCCAGCCCGTCGGCAGGGTTACAGCTTCTGAAGCCAGGCTGGGTGTTTCCCAACACTGCTATGTCATCTCAGGATAAAGGTCTCTGACATTCCAAGGAGAGTTAAATCTAAACCCTGCATGGGAACAGAAACATTTTAAAAAGACGTGAATCTATAACTTCCATGTACACATCAGGGGTCTACGTAGGGGATTAGCCAACAGCTCTGCTAAGTTACAGCCCCAACACCTCAAAGTCCTCTCCTGGACAGAGGCTATTCGGTTCGATAAGTAATGTGGAGAAAACAGAAGGGCCTCTTAGCATGGATGCAGCCCACTAGCCCCACCCCAACCCCAGTACAGCCAATGCTCGTGTCCAGGTGCCTATCTGGTTGATGGCATAGATGATCTCCAGGTGCCGAGGCAGCAGCTTCTCAAACATGGACACAGGCCAGCGCTCCAAAGCTTTGGGCAGCATGGTGTGGTTGGTGTATGCACAGGTCTTTGTGATTTCCCAAGCCTAGAACATTTCAGGACATTCCAGTGTTCTTTGTTTAGAAACAAGCAGCTCTTCTGCCAGACGCCTAAGAAAGAGGAAAGTCTAGGATCAAAGACAGACATTAAAAAGTCACCAGAAAGGGGCCTCTACTCTCCAGGGCCTGTTTAGAACTTTCTCAAAACTGCAATTGAGCCCAATTCCCTTCATCTTTCTGTTATGACCCACAAATATTTTGCATCCTGACCCAGCAAACACACACAAATGACTAAAGCTTACCCTACTGCGTAGAATCACCTCAGTTTCCCTCTTTTGTAAACTATTTCATTTAATTTTTAATTACAGTTTGCATTCAATATTATTTTGTATTAGTTTCAGGTATATAGCATAGTTGTTAGATAATCATAGATTCTACAAAGTGCTCCCCATGAAATTTCCAGGACCCACCTGGCACCATATATAGTTATTACAATATCACTGACTATATTCCTTATGCTGAACTTTACATCCTCTTGAGTAGTTTGTAACTACCAATTTGTATTTCTTAATCCCTTCACATTTTTTACCCATTCCTTCAACCACCATCCCATCTGGCAGCTGTCAGTCTGATCTCTATCTATGAAACTGTTTCAATTTGATTTGTTCATTTATTTTGTTCTTTAGACTCCACATATAAGTTAATATATATGGTATTTGCCTTTCTCTGACTGGCTTATTGCGTTTAGCATAATACCCTCTAGGTCCATCCATGCTACTGCAAATGGCAAGATTTCATTCTTTTTTATGGCCAAGTTATTACACTGTGTGTGTGTGTGTGTATGTGTGTATGTATGTATATATATATATATATATATATATATATATATATATATATATATATATATCACTTCTTCTTTATCCACTTGGGCACTTGGGTTGCTTCCACACCTTGACTATTGATAATAATGCTGCAATGAACATAGGAGTGCATATATTATTTTGAAATGGTTTCTTCGGATATACTTATACACCCAGAAGAGGAAGCAGTTCCATTTTTAATTTTTGGAGGACCCTGTGTTTTTCATAGTGGCTGCACTCTCAGCAACAGTACATGAGGTTTCTCTGTAAACTATATTTTATTGGTAAACAAAACAGAGCACTGAGCAGTTTTCTATTTTATTTCCACTAAACTGACTTCACACCCACAGTCTAGAAAACACTTATAAACTGTAGGGCCCTTGCCACCTACTGGCCAGGAATGGAGAGGACCAAAGAGGGGCTGCCTAATCTCATCAGGTGTATCCCAAGACAACAGAGGGACTCTGGGTTCTATAAATAGGATAAATTTTGTTCTATTATTTCTCATGTTGCTCTAATTAGACTAGATCAAGAATACACCATTATACTAAAGAATCTGAGACCAAAACAAGTCATGAAAACAAACCTCTAAAGATGTAAACAATATATTTCTTTAACACTTCAGGAGTTTTTGCTATGATTTCTAAGATGAGAAAATATATATTAGAAGTCCTAAGAAGCATCAGAATCCTTTTCTTGGGTCCAAAAAAATTGTTCTTCTGTGCTGCTGCACCCCTGTTCCCACTCACTGTGTTTTGGTCCCTTGGGAGAAACACCAGACTCACTCCTGGATCTTTGTTCTCCTACCCACAGACCCTGTCATCTTAGGGAAAATATCCCTCCATTTTGCCAAGGCCACAGGGGAAAGGCCTCCTTCAGTTTTGTAGGACTCATTCAGTACTCAGAACCATTACTGCAACAAACTCCAAAGCCAGGAGGATACTGTCACCCCAAGCCCACTTCTGTAGGGAATACCATCACCCCCATGTGCCCAGCTCTGCAGGGAACACCATCAGCCTATGGCCCAGGTCTGCAGGGGACATCATCACTACATATTCCCAGCTCTGTGGGAGAATGCCATCACCCAACACCCACATCTTCAGGAGACACTGTCACCCCATGTGCCTACATCTTCAGGGAATACCATCACTCCCATGTGCCCAGGACTGCAGGGGACACAATAACTCCATAGTCCCAGCCCTGCGGGGGGTGCCGCCACCCAACACTCAAGTCTGAAGGAGACTCTGTTGCCCCACACCCTTCTCCTCATGTTCACCTTTTCCCAGTCCACTTTCTCCATGTCCACCAGGATCTGCAGGAGCTCAGGGCTGGTGAGGGCTACATGAGCATAATTCAGCTGAATGGCAACCTGAAGTCACACAAAGTGATACCTTTAATTGCCTTGCACTCATGGAGTGGGTCTGTATGGTCAGCATGTGTATGCCTGAGGTCCTCAGCCGCCCACCCTGGAGGAGTCTACAGAGCTGATAGCAGGGAGCAGATAGCACAGCACAGGTGCTAGGCCCGGCCTGAAAACCAGCCAAGGCGCAGGGCCCAAGGGCTGCTGAGAGGGACCAGGAGGAACCCCCGGGTCAACTTTGCATCCTGTTTGCTCTACCAGAGGTGTCCAGGAGGTGCAGAACTCTCAACCCCCACCTCCCAAGGCTCTCTCACCTAGGATATGTTGGATTTATTTAAAATCACTGAACTGAATCTGCCAAACACATCCGGCTTTGCCCATGGGAGCCTTTTACAGTGTCCTTGTTGCCTTGACTCCTAGTGAGGCCCAGGGTGGCTGTGGTTGGGAAAGAAAAAGGACTGCCCCAACCCTCAATGATAAGGGGATGCTGCTATCCCACCCTTGCCCCAGCCTGGAGGAAGAAAGCAAGCCTGAGTGCATCCTGTCCTTCCACATTGAGCTCAAATCCCAAGTGAACAAATAAACCTTGTCTGGGAATATTTCAAAACAGCTTTTCACTGGATCCTGGCAGCCAAAGTTGGAGGACTTCAAGCAACGGATAATGTCCTGCAGGGTGGCAGCCACCACAAAGTACTCCTGCTTCAGGCAGAGCTCCTTCCCCTCAAAGAATTGTAGAAACAGAACAACTCCAGCAACAACTCAGCCACTGGGACCTTCACAGGCATTTGTAGGGCCACAGGACCCAGGACAGAGCACTAGACTGGGGATTGGTGGTCCCTGCCCCAGGGACTGCAGAGATGTGTGTGTGAATGAAAGGAGAGTCCTTGAGTACCAGCATGGTGGTGCTGACACCCCAATCCTCACAATCCTGGTGCCCAGATGTCAGGTGACCTGAAGTTCAAGGACACAGGCAGAAGGTCGTAAGTGGCCTAACCTCTATGACTTTCAACAGGGAGGGAGCACAAGGACAGCTGGCAAAGGGTCACACCATCCTGTGTGAGGACACCAGGTAAGAAGGTCCAGTCCCTGAACTGCAATGGGCTGAGTGCCAGGAACACCAGAGCCACCCAGAAATGCAAACTCCAAAGTCCATTCTAAAAATGTCTTCTGCCTGAAGGTTTAGAATCTGCTCAAAGTCTCGGGGGTGGGAGGGAGGAGGCATTTTACTATAAGCCTATTAGCACCAATGGCCTTTGCCATTGTGTACGTATTTCTTTGATTAAATAAAAACACACACGACCCACTAAGGCAAATTTTAAGGGTGCTTTTCTGGCAGCAACAACAAAAATGCCACCAGACACTCAATTCAATGGCAATGGAAAATGTGACTATGACCTTCATTTATTATGAGGTGGGCGTGGCTAAGAACTTTTCAAACTGTGACTGTTACGTGTCTCAAGGTGTCATTACAAAACAGAGACAATGTCCCCACTTGACAAACGGGTAATCTACTTCTTGGGAAAGTGGCATCAGAAAAGCAGAAACTGGAGGACTTGAGTTATGTGGTATCACCAGCAAACACATCCTTGTAGAGAGCCCCAGGCTATCCTTGGAGAGGATTGGCACCGACAAGAACTAGCTGTACACTACTCACATTGTCATTGGGGTGCAGCACTCTGGAGATGTTCTTGGCCAGATTCCTGTCCAAGACTGCCTCAAAGTAGTTGCCTGTGTTAACTAGGAGTAGACACGAGATGACAAGGTCAGAAACCAACACCTCTTCTCCTATGAACCCTCATGCCATGGTGTTACACTTGCTTCACTGGAGAGCCTGAGGACAAGCATTCCTGAACAGAAGGCACCCGAAGAGCTGCTACTTTGCCTGCCTCAAGCCCAGCCCTTCAAAGAAGTAATGGATGCCGTATCTATCCTCCATGTACCCTGCATGGCTCCAGGCCCCTAGCTCTTTGTTAAGGGCCTTGGCCTAGAGCAGTGGTCCTGCTTTTGGGCCCTCCCTGGGGAGTCCCTGCTTATAAAGAACCTGCCCTCTACCCATAACAGTGAGAGAGCAGAGAGGGGACAGAAGCTGCACAAGTGAGTCTGGGATAAGTCACCCAATGGAGACTGAAGGGCACAACACACAGTCGTGGAGATTGAAGTCATTGTGCACTTTGGCAGACCATAGCCTCATGATGTTGGCAGTGTTGTTTTTGTAGCCTGGCACTGGGGTGTCGCATGGCATGGCCAACACCACCTAACTGAGGGAAAGAAGGTCAGGGTCTGGACTGAGTCAACCAGGGAGAGTCCCCAGTCCTGGGCCCACCTGCACAGCAGTGCCAGCCTCTCAGGAAGCAGCTTCTGCATCCCAGCTGAGGGCCACCTGCTCCTCCTCCTCCAGCTTTTCTCCTTCTACCTAAAACATACCCAACCTGCCATAGTCCTGACCCCTCCCCAACCTTGCTGCACACCTGCAGCCCCAGCTTGCAGACATCCTGAGCTAGGTCTGACAGGTAAGCCCCTGAATACCTTCCTCAGATCACATTGTCGTTTTAGCTTTATCTGCTTCAGTACTGATACCATCTTAAAAATTCTTTCCACCTCAGCTCCTTGAGTGACCACTGTGTCAATCTGGGTCATGCTCCCTCAGCAACCATTCCTCCCATGTCCTTGTCCACTGACCTCCACATCTTTACTCTTCTCAGTCAACTAACTTCTCCCAAAACACTACCTCCACTTCTGACCTCCATTCCCACATATGCAGCAAGGGTCCTCCTATCATATGCCTTGATATCTAATTGTCAACAAAACCAAACCAGCCTGCACACTCCACTCCCAACTGAAAATACAAAACCTACTGTCTATGCACAAAGGATGCTACACCCTCTCCCAATTCCCATCTGACATCTTTGCTCTTGGGAAGCACAGGAAGAAGTGTATGAGCCTCAAGGTCTCTTCTAGCCCTCAGACCCTCCACTGGGGCTTCTCACACTCAGGCATGCTTTTGGTGGCTCATACAAGTGCAACTGTGTGGCTTTACAATATGAAGTCAGCTCCAGCAGCCACAAAGGACTACATAAGGGTACTATTGGGTTAAAGCCCCAGTGTTATCTGTCCCTTCTGACCGCCTCTCAACCTTCACCCTGCCCCTACTCCCCTATTACCATGGCCTTGCCCAAGCAAGTGACAAGCCATGCAAAACATCTCCAACTTCTCTCCTTCCCTCTCCATGGCCAGCCCTCAAGGGTGAGGCCCTCATCAGCCTGAGATGTCCTGGCAGTCTTATACACACTGACATGTTTATCTTCTACAAGCACACATATTTAGAAAACCAAATCTCCTTCTCTGCTTTTTCAAGTTAAATATTACTCACTATGGCTTTTTTGGCTTCCAGCCAGCTCTAGCCTCATGTACACTACTTAAAATTTATGGTGCAGAAAATCTGGATGACTCACTTTTGCATGCCTGAGATTACCCTATTCTTCCAGCTCACTCTGTTTTTGCTCATCCTACCCGCTTCACTAGATGACCATCTTATTCATACCAACTACCGCCCTTTCATGGGGTCTTTCCTCCACCCACTCCACCCGAAGCACGAAGATGTGTGTTCTCTGCCATCTCTGAGCCCAGACTGGACTCTCCACAACTGCACCCTACTATGTTTGCTACCACAGTCTACCAAGTACTCCATGCTATTGCCCTGGTCTGGCCATCAAGTTACAGCTAGGAAAGAGGGCCTGTGCCCTGTTCCAGGACATTCACCCAGGCCTCTCCACACATCTGGGGCTCTGAAGTTCAGAGTAACTGGTCAGCTGCACCTGGGGTACCACTGAGAGCTGTGGGCCACACCTGGTTCAGATGTGACAAGGGGGCACACTGACTACCTACATGCTGGGGAGCCATTCATGTCCCTCAGAGAATCAATGCTCATGTCCCTGTCACAATGCTATTCTGCTTGCTATTAAATAATCGCTGGTCTCCACCCCAAGACACAGCACCTGGTAAATTACAGTGTGGCTTAATTTTCTGCATTTTTCACTGAGGACAGTTTCTGATGAAATTTTAAAAACTGGGTATACAAGAAGAAAACCTTCCTGGCTTCTACCTTGAGTTATGTCTTCTAGGGAAGCTTATGGTGGCTCATACGAGTGCACACCTCCCACTTCCAAAAGCAAGGAAATTCAACAACAAAACCCAAGGGATCACTGGGCTCAGCCCATGTTTCCTAGGCAACACCACGGTGGGTACCTGCATGTCCAGCTACCTCACCCCCTCAGGGGAGTGCTCCACTCTCCCACAGAAGTGCACAGAAAGCATGTACTCTGGCCCAGCCTTCTCCCAAGGGTTGCCGTAGTGCAACCAGTCATCTGCCTCCTCTACCTGCAAAGCAACCAGTAGCAAGCTGAGTTCTCAGCGGGGAAGAGGGTCCTTAGCACTAGGTTGGTCCACACTAATCATGCTGTCGAGATGACTCTGCCCAGTACTGAAACAAAACTACAGCTTATTTACAGTGCAAAGATTTCCAATTCTAGTTAAGGCCAGCCACATATTTAAAAATGAACACTTTAGACTATTAAGAAAACAAACTGTTACAAAATTCAGAAAAGTGCATCAAAGTGAAAAGACATTAAGAATCACCTCAATTCAGCAATAATAAGTAATAAAAAGAGGTCCTACAACACGAATAAACCTTGAAGACATTATGCTGGGTCAAAGAAGCCCACATATTGCATGATTCCATGTATATGGAATGTTTAGAACAGCCAAACCCAGAGAGAGAAAGCAGATGAATAGTTTGGCAGGCACTGGGGAGTGACTGCAAATGGGTGCTGGATTTTTTGGGGGGTGATGAAATTGTTTTAGAAATAAGAGTAGTGATGGTTGCCCAACTTTGTGAATATATTAAAAACTTGATAGCTTACTAGCTGTTACTTAAAAATAAAGACAGAATCACTGAAAGCCCACTGCTTTGAAAATGACATACAAACCTATGGTTGCCTGAGGCTAAGCTGTCTCCCTGGGAGCACTTGCAGTGGGCAGGCCAGACACTCCTCTGGAAGACACCTTCCTTTCTGCTTATTTTCCAAAACCCACACCCAGTGACATCCAAAATCTGTAAATAAGAAAAAACCACTCCAACAAATAAAATTAGAAGCAGTCTCACAGACTTTCACTTTTGACAGTTTGGTGGGGATGTTTTGCCCTCCTCCCTGTGTTATTTATTCTGCTTATAAGCCATGAGATAAATTCATGTGGTAGAGCAATAAATAAAAAATCATGAATGTAAGTTAACTAAAATTTAAATCAAGTTTTTTTTCCCTCACATTGAACAAACAACCCTATCTATGTGTGTTACTTTGAGATTTTGTTGTTTTTTTAAAAATTTTAATCCTTACCTGAGAATTTTTTTTTATTGATTTTAGAGAGAAAGGTGGGAGGAGGGTGGGGAATCAATGTGAGAGAGAAACATCAATCAGTTGCCTCCCATACACATCCCGACCAGGGACTGAACCCACAACCTAGTATGTGCCCTGACTAGGAATCAAACCTGAAACTTTTTTTGGTGTAGGGGATGATGCTCCAACCAACTAGCCAGGGCTGATGTTTGTTATTTTAATGGTCCTTACACAGAAGTAAAAGGTCACTAAAAGAGCATCTGGGTTGTGATTTTAGGAAGGTGACATGGATGAGGTCACTGATTTAATATGCACCTTTCCATAACATTCCTGTTAAGGTGCTTCTGTCTGTGCAGGCAGATATTCATCAAAAGATGAGTCTTCCCTTTTGACACCCTGGCAGCATGTCTTTGTACACTAGTGAGATTCTTCAACACACAACCTGGCTACCTCCCACATAGTAGACATCTGTAGAAGGAGCACCTTCCCCAATACAAGAGGCATTGTGGTCTCCCCTCTGGAGTTCCCAACAGGCTGGCCTGTTGGCCACCGTGGTGCTGTGTAACCACTGCTCACATTTAATTCTGTTAAAGCTAATCTTAACTAAAATCATTCTAAACTGACTGGCTCCCATGAAAACAGGGTGAGAGGAGGGTGACTTGACCATTCACCTATAGTTCTAGGAGTGCTCTGAAACTGTTAGGCAAGATGGAAAGAGGTACAGGAACGAGAAACCAGAAGAAAAAAAAAAGTCTGTGATCATACAGACACAACCAAAAACTTTTCCTGTTTACAACCATAATACCAAGGAGATAAGAGATCCTGTCTTATAAATACCCACATTACCTTAACTGAAAAAAATAGCTAGCTAAAATGGGTCAAAGAATACATGTGTAAATTGGTGCAGCCACTATGAAAAATAGTATTGGAGGTTCCTCAAAAAATTAAACACTGAACTAACATATGACCCAGGAATTCCACTTCTGAGTATCCAAAGAAAATGAAAACACTGAGAAAGTTATACACATCCCTAGGTTCACCTAAGTATCATTCACAATTGCCAAGATATGGAAGTAATCTAGATACCCATAGATAAATAAATGGATAAAGATGATGTGACATATACATGGAATATTACTCAGTAATAATACAGAATGAGATCTTGCCATTTGCAACAACATGGATCAACCTAGAGGGTATTATGTTAAATGAACAAGACAGAGAAAAACAAATACATCATTTCACTTATATGTGAAATCTAAAAAGATACAGAGACCAAACTGCTGGTTGCCCAAGGGGAGGAAGAGCGGGACGGGGGTAGGGGGTGGAGGGGTGGGGGGGTTCTGGGTAAAAAGGTGGAGGGAAATAAAGGTCATTTTATAATCTCAAGTTATAATATAAGTCATGGGGATGTAATATATGGCACAGAGAATATAGTCAATAATATTGTAATAACTTTGCATGCTGAGATAGTTTAGACTTACCATGGTGATCACATTGTAAGGTATATAAATTTTGAATCACTACATTGTACATCAAAAGCTAATATTCTATGATAACTATACTTCCATAAAAAAACAAAATAAACAAAAAAACCAAAAATAGAAGATAAAAATCTTCAATCATTTCTTCAACAAAACAAAACATATGTACAAGGGTTGGAGTACATCTGATAAACACACACATGAAGAACTGTGAGTGAAATTATCCCAAAGGCACCAGGAGGAAAACTGCATTTCTTTTAAGATATTTCTGTAATTAAGCAATGGGAACAAATCTGTTTTAAGTTTTCTTTTACTTTTAGCCATAATTTCCTTTGCCAACATTTTATTATGAGCATTTTCAAACATACAGAAATGTTAAAAGAATTGTCTGTGAACATCCACACAAATGCAATCTAGGTTCTATAATTGTTAACTTCATGCTTGATTTACTGTATATCCATCCACTGATCCATTAATATTTGGATGTATTTCAAAGTAGGCTGCAGACATCTATATACTCCTCCTCTGAACACTTCAGCATGCACATTAAGTACAGTCCATCATGTGTTTATTTTTTAGGTTAATATATATACAGTAAAATGCATAAATCCTAAGGATACCACGGATGAGTTCTGACAATTGCATACCTGTATGACTCAAACCCCATAAAGGTACAGGGCATTTCTATTACCCCAGGCATCAACTATTTCACTGGAACTACACTGCTCTCCAGTTACAAAACTTTCAGCCCTAACCACAGCCTTGCTTTAATATGTGACTTTTAGGCCCAAAATTATGTTTAAAAAAACTATTGCTCACCCAAATTGAATAGTTATGCCTTCCATTTGGAAATTCCAAATGAGGGGAAACAATAACCTTGCCTAGTTGAGGACGGCAAGACTGCATTTTAAGATCACACCCTTCACTGATGTGGTCCTGACCACCTCACTTAGCTGTGATTTGATGCTCTAGAACTGAAGTTCACTCTTCCTAACAGCCACTTTCTTTTGCATGGTCTGGCTTCTAACCCTACAGAGTGCTGTCCTCTCACTCGTGTAAAGGAGATAAGGTGATAATGCCAAAAGTGGGAACAAAATCAACTATAACTGTTTTTTAACTACTCCAAGTCAATTGTCCCTCTGAGAGTGAACCACAGAATGGAGTTACCTTCACTCTGCATTGAGATACAACAGGAAACCAGCATGCAGGCTGTGGTATTCTCACCACCTTTCCCCAATCTCCATCCCTGATGTCTCCTACAAGGTGCAGCAGGCTCTGGGCCCCACCCCACCAGACTTGCAATGAGCTCACAAAGGAGACCAGCCTCTGCAAGCCCATGTGAAGTTATGAGGAAAGCATGAAGCTCATAGGATTGTCCTAACCTGTCCCACCTCTGCTTGTCTAAGACTGGCATGTAGTCTCCCCATGAAGGAGTTTAAAATATTAAAAAGTTGAACTAAAAGTGCACCTGTTTATTTTCTTGTGCAAATATGAGCTGGAAATGAGTGAAGGAACCGAGTCTCACCCACCTGCCAGCTATTGACAATCTTCTGGTTAAAAATCCCAAACTCATAACGGATTCCATAGCCATATGCTGCCAGGTCCAAGGTGGCCACGGAGTCAAGGAGGCAGGTTGAAAATTTCAAACACAAAGAACTTTTAATCAAAAACAATCAGCATGTTCAAGGCCCACTAGAAACAAGGCCCAGACAACTAAGTTAAGCAGGTTGCTAGGATGTTGACTTCGAGGGTGTCAGTGTTTCAGTGGTGACTGCAGTCAGCTTTAGGTATCATGAAAAAGAAAACTGTACTTACCCTCACTCCCCTCAGTTTGAGAGCCTAGGACAATGCCAAGAAGATATCAGTGTGGGAAGGTCTGGGGTTTTGGGAAGATGGAAAGGAGAGAGAGAGAACACAGCCACACTTGGTGCATCCTAAATGCATCAGCCCCACTGCCAACTTTCTCTTAGCGTCACTGAGACTAACAGCCTCCCTGTCCTTCACGTAGTCAACCTCAAATTCAAGCTGTCTGGATAGTAGGGGAACATCACAAAATATCTCTACACACTAGTAGAGAAGACACAGAAACTGGGGCTGGGAATAAAAATTTCACTGTCTACAACATCAAATACCCAAGCGCCAAAGTACCACCAGGGCATCTGAGATATAGCTAGAGCATCTCGTCAGCAAATCGACCCTTTGTTCTGATCAAACTATCTTGGGGAAAAGAAAGCACAATATTTTACATAAAGATCCAGAAGGTGGCCTTATCAACCTTCGGGATAAAAAGAAAGAGAAAGAGAAGAAAAGAAGAGAAAGGAAAGGAAAGTAAAGGAAAGGAAAGGAAAGGAAAGGAAAAGAAAAGAGAAAAGACAACAGAAGACTACACAAAACACCAAGCAAATAAAATAAATGCTCAATTCACCAAACATGCACAGATCCCTGAATGCCAGGCCTTTTACTGAAGGAGACAAAAAAAAGGAAGACTCCAAAATGTAAGATCTGGTCTCTTGCTTTAAAGAAATCATTCTCACAGGAAGGGCAAAGGACCTATCAAGCTATAGTTGACTTCTGGGGCTTCCCAAAGTCTGCACAAGTTACAGCAATCTGTGGAACCAGAGGGGCCCAAAGGAGGAGGTGCCATGACACCAGCCCACAGGAAAGAAGAGTGGCACCAGAGAAGTGGCAAGACAGATGGCTGTGAAGTTGACATGAACCTGACTGCGAAGCCCTGAGAATGCCCAGAATGGAAGTGGATTGCAAAGTGCAAGGGACAGAACCACTTGGCTAACAGTCCCCTCTTTAGGGTAGAAGGGGAGGCTGGGCAGCTACTCCAGTGAAGGCTACTATTTCCCAAGCTCAAAGGGTCTGGAGCTTCCTTTGAGCTTGGGAAATTGGTTCTGTTTTTTACTATGATCAACAAAATGCCATTAGGGTGAAGGGGACTGGGGTGGACTGAAACCCTCGGGCTTAAGGACACTGGGGCTCCCAGTGTGGGCAGTTGCAGGGGGAAGTAAGCTCTGCCTTACTGTCTGGTATGATGTCACCTTCACACACTAAAACAGAGCCCTCCCCTGGAGAGCAGGATGCACAGGACCCACATGGGCCTTTAACATTAAGGGACAGACATGGCAGGCCTTGCCAATTGTTTATGTAAATCCATGTGCTGTTTTGTTTGAGATAAAAATATGTTGGATCTATAATTTGTGAAGAATTTACTTTAAAATTTAAAAATGCAAACACATGCACTCCTCCCTCAATAAATTTTAGAGCATTTTCTCCCTTTACAAAATGACAACTCCCCAAAGCAACTGTGACACCAAGGGGCAGGGGCCTAAGCCCACACTTTCCTCGACCCCGTAACACAAGAGCAGCATAATACCTAACTCATCTTTGCCCTAGAAACACTGTGCCCAAGTGCTTTGATGTGCACAATAAAATCAAGTGTCAGTCTAACTGCTATTTCCATTTCTATGTTCTTAGCCCCACTCCCTCTTCCCAAAAACACTGGCAAAAATAATTAAACCAGAAAAAGAAAACTGAGTATGCTCTCGCATAGAGTGAACAAGGGAGCAGCATGGCCCAAAGGAACAGCTCTGTTATTTCAGAACAATCTATGTACTGTAGTAAGAACAGAATAGCTTGAAATGCCATAAGCTATGTATGCAGGTGTTTCTATTCATCTGTCTTTCTCCCACTTACTGGCTTTTGGATTGTGGAGAGTGACTGGTATATTGAAATCCTCTCCCAGCACCAGTCACCCAACATTGGCAAGACTGGTCATGATCTTTATGAAGTACCCCTGGTGTGAAAGAGAACATACATCTTGCATTTTTCCCAACTAGTGGCAAAGATTTTTGATCTGGAGAACACATTCTCCCATCTACTCTGAGGGACAATTCATCCTGCCAAAACAGCATCAGGAACATGGCCAACCTTGACCTCATCATGTGATCACTGACAGGCACCATGTCAGGAAAACCTTGTCCTAGACAAGCGCTTGGGTTACTTTCTAGCCTCCCCAACCCTCCATTTCCTAGGCCAGCGTCTTCTATTTCTTCCAGTTCCTCCAAGTCCAACCCCAACTGTGAATAAAAACTGAGGTAATATTTTTAATATTACTTATTACTCTCCACCAGGTGAAAAGATATTTAAATTCTGTGACCTTATATCAAAGGTTAGAGTCTGCTTTGTTTTAAACTCGAATCTCCAATGTTAAAAATCTGATGTACATTTGCTACACAAAAATGAAAGTTTCTAGTTATTTCAAAAACTGCCCAATTACTTAAGAATTACAGTCAAAATGAGACATGGCTTAAGAGCCAAAAATATATACTGCCAAGTTATTTATTTACAGTGGACAGATTACAACATGTATACGAAAAATGAAACAAATGGTATCAGTAATTCTCTAGTTTCACATGAAAACCTACAACAACTTCCCTGTGGTATTCCAAATATTTCAAACAACCTCATAAAACAGATATGGCATGTTAAAAATTAGAGAAAAAACGACAAAGTCACAACTACTTCACCTGACTGAAAACCATTACAGAATATAGGTCTTAAGGCTCTCAATTATGGTTTATTGGTAATTATTCCATTAATATTAAACCTGACAAAACTCATCACATGTTAGCATAAACAATATTATAAAATAAAAAAATAGACTACATTTTTTAAAAATTTTAAGGTCAAAGTTTTTCTTTCTTTCTTTCTTTCTTTCTTTCTTTCTTTCTTTCTTTCTTTCTTTCTTTTTCTTTCTTTCTTTCTTTCTTTCTTTCTTTCTTAAATACATTTGTCTCTGCCTCCCCCCCACCACTTTCCCTTGTCCCCTCCCTCCTTCCCTCCCTCAGCTCTTCCCCTTTGGTTTTGTCCATGAGTTCTTGCTATATGTTTCTTGACTTTCCCCTTCCCTACCCTTTCCCTGCCCGCCCCTCCCTCCTTCCCTCTTGTCTCTGTTGATTTCTTTTCCTTTCAGTGTTGCTGGTCATATTTTCCTTGCATCTTTGTATTGTTGGTTAGGTTCCGCTTATAGGTGAGATCATATGGTATTTGTCTTTCAAAGTTTATTTTATTCATTACTTTTGCTATTTAAGGAAAACTACAATGTAAAATTGGAAAAATAAAATATTTACTTCTGCTAAAATATCAAAGAATCATTTTAATCCAAGCTCCACTAAAAATTATTACAAGAGACATTGCATGATTTTGGGAAAAATAAAAGTGAAACTTAATAGCAGCATATGAATGTCAAATTATCACCAAATCATAGTAAGGTGGTGGTGGTACTATTTCTTGACTTGTACATGGAATATATACAACATGACTGATAATACTCAACACTCAAGGAACTACCTGATACAAGGAACTATCTGATAAAACTACTTCTATATTGTGGGCTTCTAGGGCAAGAGCTGTTATTCATCCTTGAATACTCAGATTCTAACACAGTACTTCGAATAACAGATGTTCAATAAGTATTTGTTGTATTGACATGGTTCTTTTATAATTAATGTAGTGAGTTCTTGGCAATTCATCTATAATATGGTATCTTGCAGTTAGGTTATTATTTAAGAGCATATTAGATATCTGATATTAAAAAAGGCTAGTTGTGTTTCTAAAAAATACAAGATTTGTTCTTTCAGTTTTACTTCCCTGTGTCATGCAAATGGGCAGTGAGGATACATTTTTAGAGTAACACCAAAATAATCTATCCTGGTAGTGAACTTACACAGAACTAATGCTCATCTCTTCAAATGTCTAAGGTTTTTACGCTAGTTAATTCTGAAGGGAATCCTTCCAAGCATATTAAATACTTTCCTAGTTTCTTAAACATAGAACACAATATAATTTCACCTTTCCTTAATGATTTAAGATTATCATTATAAGTATCTGTTACACTAAATCAACATTAGTTTGACTGTTTCCTCTCTAACCAGGATGTATCTGCCCTTATAAACCACTGGGCTCCTATCTCTCTGACCAGGTATGGATTCACTTACGATATGCTTTCAAAGTGCCTGGACTTCTTCACAGTACTTACTACATTTTCAATTGTACATTTATTTGTGACATTTGATTATTATGCCTCCCATACTAAATTAAGGAACATAAGGGCTTGTATGTAGTCCAGGTTTACTCACCACTGTATCTGCAGTACCTAAAAATGCAGTGCCTGGTGTACGGTAGGCTCTCAGTCAATACTACCCAAATGACCAAATAAATAAACACATACTTCAGTGCATACCCCTCTCTGCTATTTGCTTAGGGCAAGCCTGGTTAAGTTTGGGAATTAATTTTTCTAAAAACTAAGTTGGAAAAAGAGTCAGCTCCTACATGAGAATGGAGGAGTACAGAAGCTTTAGGATCTGGTGTTAACTATTTTAGCTGTTAGGCCTTTTCCCTCTTCTACTACTAAGAAAAAATAGAAGTTACATTGGATAAATGATCTTTAACCATGAGCTCTTGGTCACTAAAACTCAATTCCCGCCTCTATAAAATGATGATGATAATAGTCCCTATCTCAATGGGTTACTGTTGAGGATTCAATAACATAATAAAGTGCTCATCACACTATCTGAAATAGAGAAAGTGTTGATGTTAGTTGTTACTATTAGTTGCATGCCACCTTAGTAATAATATGTTATCTTTTACATATGAAGATACTGTTATTGACCTATCATCAAAGTGGATGTATTCTGATAATTTCTTTAGAAGTTGTTAAAGGATCTGCTCAGAATAATCAGTCCATCCAACCTCTCTCCCTCATATTTCAGCGTTAAAGTAAACTGCTTGCCTGTTATTCACAAACCATTTTCACTGAAAATACACATTTCTCTAAGATTCTACTAATGTTACAGTGAGTTTATGAGATGTTAGAGATCTGATATAACCCAGAAAGGGATTATAGAAAATTTCAAAAAGGACAGTCCCACTGGAAGTTAAACTATACTTTGTCTTCATATATTAAGAAAATGTCATTCTCCCCTTTACTGTTTTAAAGTACATGTAAAATTCTTTTCCACATTTTGGTAGCTAATTGAAGAGGGAAAACCAAAGGCTTTACAACCATTACTACCAACTATACTTAAAGAAGAAACAATACCTTAAATTGTGGATCCTTTGAATGTATACCTAGCACAGATTTCAGAAATCCATACTGGGCTTTCAGCTCATCATGTTTACTGTAACTGTCAAAGAGTAATTTTCTTCTAAAAATGTATTACTTTCAGAATATATCCAAAGTGCTGAATGTGCTTTTAGTTGAGCATACATAATTTTACAAGATTGCAGGTAGTGTTTATTTGGGCTACAGGTTTAAAGAACGATATAGATATCCCAAGAACAACAAAGGAAATTGGATTTTCTCCCTCCTTATCTAACTCCCTAAGAATTTGAATTACAAAATTAACCACAAAACTATCTACCTTAACCAAGAAGTTTATAAGGATAAGTAATAAGATACAGAAATCCTCAACCTTAAATGTGTTGGCAAAATTAAATGACCTTTCCTTTCGGGCAACTCTGAACTTGAGACTCAAAGTTTTAACTATTGTTGGAGATCATGGAGCAATGATTCACTGCCTTTGGTGCTTCTCAGTCACTCTGTCTTCTTTCATTGTGCTTTTGATGACTTCAGATACCCTGCTGGTTCCAAGGATGCAAGACAAACTTAGAAACACTTCACTATTTATATTATAATATCCCTTTGCTAAAATTGATACAGTCTGCACTTTCTTTTTGTTATTTATAAGACTGTCAACCAGGTCAGCTACTGATAGTCCAAAGGAACAGGATCTTTGACCTTTTCCCCTTAATAATTCCATAGCTCTGCTGGTCAGCTGCACCTGAGAGTTATGATTCATTACTTCTTCTTGGCCACCCCATTTGGTCACTTTGTCCTCTCTCTGCTCACCAATCCATACTTGTTCTTCTGAAGTTTGTGCCTTCACAACATTTGTAATAATATATTGTAATCTCTGTGAATCCATATTGCATCCAATTCCAATCACTCAATTTGCAGGACATGCACTCAGTTTCCATGTCACATACATCATGATTTCCACTGGTTGAGATGCAATGAGCAGGACACCATTTTGACTATAATTTCCCAGAGCTGGCACAAGGGATCTGAACATATCTATATTTCTCTGTACCACTTCAAGGTAGGACTGAGAACTACCCAAAGAGTTAACCGTGAAGATGACCATCTTGGAATGAGCAGAGGCAGACAGATCTTTGCTGATTTCCACATTAGGCAGGTTGAAGATATTAAGGTCCATCATCCCTCCTTTAGTCTCTCCTGAGAGGTCTAAGAGGACAAATCTGTCTGAAAGGCCCTTTGCTGAAATTGCTAACATGCAGGCAACTCCTAGTTCTCCACCTCCAACCACAATAATTTTCTTTACTGCTTTGTTCTCACAATTTGCCCAGTTCTTTGAATTTATGTCTGAGACACCTTCAGTGATTTTTGAAATATAGGCTAGCAAGTCCATCTGCCGTGCTGCATCAGATGGTGAGGGAGAATACAGGGGAAGTTCCTCCTGAAACTTGGCAGTCATTTCTTTAATTAATCTTACAATGACAGATTTAGGATGACTCCAGTTTTGCAGGCAAGGCAAGTATATTCTGCTTTGAGCATTCACATGTTTTCCAACTGAGATTCCCATATTTGTAGTTGGCTTTAAGAAGCAAATGGGGGGAGCAAAAGGGTGAGAATCCAAAATCCACAAACAAATTGGTATGTTATTTGTGTTACCCTGATCATGACAGGCATAGTACCAGTGAAATTCAGCAAGTATTTCTGGGAATCATCTTTGAAAATATAGATGTCCATGGAATATCTGAAACATGGCAAAAACATATTGACATTCCTTAGTTCTTCCACAGTTAGATCCCTGAACTTGTGCTCATAGACCTGTGCTTGCAAAGCAGCCGTCTCAGACCCTTGCAGGTCTGTTCTAAAACTACAAATGAACTGTGAAAGACCTCCAAATGAACAACTATTAATGAAGAACCCTTAAGCAAAGGAAGTTTCTATTCTGTCTCAGGGAGAACAGGCAATTTATAATTAGAGAATAGAATGAGTATAACAGAAGATGATGGAGTGAGTGGAAGTCACACTGACCTCCTCCCAGGACCAGTCTGGAATTACAACAAAATTGTGGAGAAATCACCTGGAAAACGACTGAACAATAGTGAGAGAGGAGCCTTAAAACCTTGGACAGACAGAGGAACTGGCTTTAACACAACCTAACTGGTAAGGAGCACAGTAGAGGCTCAAGAAGGTGGATTAGGTGCTCATGGCGGCAACACCAGAAGGATATTGAAATGGCCAGTAGGATACTGCTAGGAAGAGCAGGGTATTAACCATAAGTGGGGATCTCCAGCCTACAGTACCAGAGCCCATAAAGCACTCAGATAACACCCAGCTGAGAAAAGTGGCAATGTGCTCTCTGCCAGAGACAGGCAGCAGGAGATGCAAAGAGCCATTTAATGGGCCAACACAAAAATTTGTAGTGGCAGGCCACTTACCCTGGGATCTGGCAGGGGTGGAGTGGGTTGGTGCTGCCTGAAGAAAGACTGGAGAAGGAGGCTTGGGAGAAAGAACTGAGAAAGTGGATGGCAGGGTCCCAGTGCTGAATCACCCACCCTTCCGCAGCTGCCATCTTGCTCAGGCAGACCATTCCCCTGAGTGGCAGCAGTGTGAAAAGACACAAGAGCCATGCTCCCAGTAGGCTTGGCTCCAGGCCGGTGTTGCACAGGCTGGGGTGCTGAGTACAGAGCAGCAGTCACAAATAGTATATCCTTGGCTAAAGGGGATGCAGAGTGGTTTGGAGTCGCTTGAGCAAAGTCTGGAGACAGAGGCATTGGGGAGTAAACCAAGGCAGTAACCAGGGGTGGATCCCAGTGCTGACTCCTCCTCCATAATGGCAGTAGCCATTTTTCTCAGGCAGAATACTCCCCTTGGGGGCAGGAGAGTAAACGGACACAATAGCCCCACCCACAGGAGAGACACTGCTGCACCCTGAATGCTGAGGGCAGAGTGACTACATTAACAACTAGAGGACACAGACACAGACAGTAGATTCCTGGAAGTCTCTTAAAGACTGCCTAAGGTCAGACGGGGTCAACAACTGACATCATCAGAGGCAGATCCAGAAAGAAAGGAAAAAAAAAGGGGGTCTCCTACCATAGAAGTTCACAGCACAAAGTCAGGAAGTTAAGACAGATCAACTTAAGAAGCAGAAGCAAAAAAGAAGAGTCTCACTGATAATGGGAAGACAAAGAAACACTCTCCCACTCAAAGGGAAAGAAGGAATCCCCACAAGGAGAACTAAATGAAATAGAAGCAAGTAAACTATTAAATATTGAGTTTAAAACAACAGTTCTAATGAAGCTCAGTGAGCTCAGTGAGCTCAAAGAGAATTACCAAAGACAACAGGGAAACTATGTGGAACTTAGCGCAAACTATATCAGCATGAAAAAATACATAGAAACTATCAGTAAGAGGCAAGAGGAAATGAAGAATACAATTTATGAATTGAAGAATGCAGTAGAAGGAATCAAAAGCAGGCTAGATGAAGCAGAGGAACAAATCAGTGAGCTGGAGGACAAAGTAGAAAAAAGCTCCCAGAAAGAGCAAGAAAATGAAAAAAGAATCAAAAAGAATGAAGAGGCATTCAGGGAAATGAAACGTAATAATATCCATATAATAGGGATACCAGAAGGAGAAGAGAAACAAGGGACCAAGAACCTGTTAGAAAAAGTAATGATGGAAAACTTCCCTAATTGGAGGAGAGAAAAAGTCATACAAATCCAGGAAGCACAGAGGGTCCCACTCAAGAGAAACCCAATGAGGCCCACTCCAATACACATCATCATTAAAATGGCAAATATCAAAGACAAAGAGAGAATCCTAAAGGCAGCAAGGGAGAAACAGCAAGTAACATACAAGAGAGCCCCAATATGGTTAGCAGCTGACTTCTCAACAGAAACACTGCAAGCCAGAAGGGAATGGCAAGAGATATTTCAAGTCAGGAGAAGCAAAGGCCTGCAACCAAGACTGCTCTACCCAGCAAGGCTCTCAATTAAAATGGAAGGTGAAGTAAGGACTTTCCCAGACAAAAGAAGGCTAAAAGAATACACCTCCATCAAACCAGCACTGCAAGATATGCTAAAGAGACTGCTTTAAGAAGATGAAGAAAAAGAGTGAGAAAGAGAGGAACACAGGTACAAAGCAAAAAAATGAATAAGTACCTATCAATAGTAACTTTAAATGTAAATGGACTTAATGCCCCAATCAAAAGACATAGGATGGCTGAATGGGTAAGAAAACATGACCCATATATGCTGCCTACAAGAGACTCACCTCAGAACGAAGGACCTACACAGATGGAAAGTAGGGATGGTGTCTTGCAGCCTCTCTAGGCTGGACAGGTATGCTTGGGGCTCAGGTAGATGGAAGAAGATGCATGGAGCCTTGGGGGATGCTTGACATGCCTTTATTTGGGAGAGTCACACAGGTACAAGCCTGGTATGAGGAAATCACACAGGCCACAAAGCCTGTATCCGTGCCACACAGAAGCTACAAACCCATGTGGAAGGAGTCACACAGGCCACAAGCCTGTGTCCAAGTCAGCTCCCCGACTCCCCACCCTGTCCAAAGCTCCTATCCCTTTTATATTAGCCCCAAACAAAGTAGGGCAATCAAGCCAGAAGGTGAAGTAACTATCATGAGCTGCACCTGTGATCCTACTCAAGGCTACAGGGCAGTTTATCACACCTGGGGCTCAAGGCCGTGAGACCGGGGCAAAAGCCTGTGAGAACATTGCTTTACCAGACTCCTCCAAGGTTGTGAGGAGTTGCTCTCTCTGGTTACCCATGCATCTAGGTGAGGGAGCCAGACCGCCTCCACGTACCCTACAGGTGGTAAAACATATTCCAAGCAATGGACAATGGACAGGGAAAAAAAGCAGGGGTAGCAATACTTATATCAGACAACATAGATTTCAAAACAAAGACCATAAAAAGAGACATAAAAGGACACTTTATAATACTCAAAGGAAGAATCGACCAAGAAGACATAAACATTGTAAACCTATATGCGCCCAATATAGGAGCACCTGATATATAAGGAAAACCTTGTAAGACTTCAAGAAAGATACAGACAGTAACACACTGATAGCAGGGGATTTTAACACCCCACTGTCAAAAATGCATAGATCTTCAGAACAAAACATCAACAAAGATATTGTGGAACTCAATGATGCATTAGATCAAATGGACTTAACTGACATATATAGAACTTTTCATTCCAAAGAAGTAAAATACATATTCTTTTCAAATGCACACAGAACATTTTCAAAGACAGACCACATGACAGCACACAAAATAAGCTTTTACAAATCCAGGAAAATCAAAATCATTACAAGCATTTTGTCAGATAACAAGGGCTTGAAACTAGAAACCAACCTCAAGTAAAAAATTCAAAAACATTCAAATTCAATGAATGGGTCACTAATGAGATCAAAGGAGAAATCAAAAAGTTTCTGGAAACAAATGAAAATGAACACACAACAGCCCAAAACCTTTGCGACACAGCAAAGGCAGTCCTGAGAGGGAAGTTCATAGCAATGCAGGTCTACCTAAAAAAGATAGAAATGTTTCAAATAAACAACCTAACCCTCCACTTTCAAGAACTGGAGAAAAAAACAACAACATCAAAAAGCCCAGAGCAAGTAGGAGAAAGGAAATAATCGAGATCAGAGCAGAACTGAATGACATAGAAACTAAAAGAATAATTCAAAGGATCAACCAATCCAGGAGCTGGTTCTTTGAAAAGATAAACAAAATCGACAAGGCTTTAATCAGACTCATCAAGAAAAAAAGGGAGAGTATCCAAATACATAATATCAGAAATGAAAGAGGAGAAATAACAACTGATAACACAGAAATACAAAGGATTGTAAGAAATTACTATGAACAATTATATGCCAAGAAATTTGAAAACCTTGTTGAGATGGACAAATTTCTAGAAAAATATAACCTTCCAACACTGAACGAAGAAGCAAAAAGCCTGAACAGACCAATAACAGCTGGTGAAATTGAAGCAGCAGTCAAAAAACTCCCAGCGCACAAAAGCCCTGGACAGGATGGTTTCACAGGAGAATTTTAAAAAACATTTAAGGAAGAGTTAACCCCTGTCCTTCATCGATTATTCCAAAAAATCCAAAAGGTGGGGAGACTCCCAAATTCTTTTTATGAGGCCAGCATCATCCTAATCCCAAAACGAGATAAAGACACAACAAAGTAAGAAAACTACAGGCCAATATTGCTGAAGGACATAGAGCTAAAATGCTCAACAAAATATTGGCAAACAGCATCCAGCAATACATTAAAAAGATCATCCATCACAATCAAGTGGGATTCATCCCAGGGATGCAAGGATGGTTCAGTATTTGTAAATCAATAAACGTAATACATCACATAAACGAAAGGAAAGACAAAAATCACATGATCCTATCAACAAATTCAGAAAAAGCATTTGATAAGGGACAGTACCCATTTATGATAAAAACACTCAGCAAAGTGGGAAAAAAGGGCACATACCTCAATGTAATAAAGGCGATATATAAAAAAACCTACAGCCAACCTCATACACAATGGGCAAAAACTAAAACTGCTCCCACTAAGATCAGGAACAAGACAAGGATGTCTGCTTTCACCACTTCTATTCAACATAGTATTGGAAGTCCTAGCCGCAGTGATCAGACATGAAATAGAAATAGAAGGCATCCAAATTGGAAAGGAGGAAGTAAAAGTATCATTGTTTGCAGAAGACGTGATAGTGTTCATGGAAAGCCCCATAGACTCCTCCAAAAGACTACTCGACCTAATAAGCGAATTTGGCAAAACAGCAGGACACAAAGTCAATATTCAAAAATCAGAGGCATTGTTGTATACCAAAAATGAAATATCAGAATCAGAAATCAGGAAAATATCCCCTTTGCTATAGCAACAAGAAAAATAATGTACCTAGGAATAAACTCAACCAAGGAGTTAGTAAAAGACCTGTATGCAGAAAACTAAATAGCACCGAAGAAAGAAATTAAGGAAGACAAAAAAAAAAAAAAAAAAAAAAGGAAGCATATGCTGTGTTCATGGTTTGGAAGAATTAACATCATCAAAATGGCCATCCTACCCAAAACAATTTATAGATTCAATGCAATCGCTATTAAAATACTGGTGACATATTTCACATAGAACAAACATTTCAAAAACTTATATGGAACCATAAATGACCCCAAATAGCTGCAGCAATTTTGAGGAAAAAAAAAAAAAGTAGGAGGGATTGCAATTCCTGACATTAAACTATATTACAAGGCCACTGTAATCCAAACAGTCTGGTACTGGCACAAGAACAGACATATCAGTGGAACAGAATAGAGACCCCAGAAGTAAACGCATGTGCTATGGTCAATTAATATTCGACAAAGGGGGCAGAAGCATATAATGGAGTAAAAATAGCCTCTTCAACAAATGGGTTGGGAGAGCTGGACAGCTCTATGCAAAAAATTGAAATTTGACCACCAACTGACATCACACACAAAAATAAACTCAAGAAGGGTAAAAGACTTAAATATAAGTCGCAACACCATAAAAGTCCTAGAGCAGAACGTAGGCAGGAAACTCTCAGATATCCCATGCAGCAATATTTTCACCGATATGTCCCCTAGAGTAAGGGACATAAAGGAAAAAATAAACAAATGGGACTTCATCAAAATAAGAAGCTTCTGCACTGCTAAAGAAAACATTAGCATAATGAAAAGGGAACCAACTGTATGGGAAAATATATTTGCCAATGATACCACAGACAAGGGTTTGATCTCCAAAATATATAAAGAACTCACTCGACTCCACTCCAAGAAGACAAACGATCCAATCAAAAAATGGGCAAAGGACCTGGGCAGATGCTTTTCTAAGGAGGAGATACAGAGGGCCCAGAGGCATTTGAAAGGATGCTCAGCATCACTAGCCATCAGAGAAACGCAGATCAAAACCACCATGAGGTACCACCTCACACTGGTCAGAATGGCCATCAGAAACAGATCCACAAACAACAGGTGCTGGCGAGGCTGTGGAGAAAAGGGAACCCTAGTACACTGTTGGTGGGAATGCAGACTGGTGCAGCCACTATGGAAAGCAGTGTGGAATTTCCTCACAAAGCTGAAAATGGAACTGCCTTTTGATCCAGTGATTCCGCTGCTGGGACTATACCCTAAGAACACCAAAACGCCAATACAAAAGAACCTATGCACCCTAATGTTCATAGCAGCACAATTTACAATAGCCAAGTGTTGGAAGCAACCTAAATGCCCATCAGTAGATGATTGGATCAAAAAGTTATGGTACATATACACAATGGAATACTACACAGCAGAAAGAAAAAAAGAACTACTAAACTTCGCAACAGCATGGATGGAACTGGAGAGCATTATGCTAAGCGAAATAAGCCAGGGGGCGAAAGACAAATACCATATGATCTCACCTATAAGCGGAACCTAACCAACAATGCAAAGATGCAAGGAAAATATGACCAGCAACACTGAAAGGATAAGAAATCAACAGAGACAAGAGGGAAGGGGGGGCAGCGAAAGGGAAGGGATGGGGAAAGTCAAGGAACAAATAGCAAGGACTCATGGACAAAACCGAAGGGGAAGAGCTGAGGGAGGGAAGGAGGGAGAGGGCAAGGTAAAGAGGTCGGGGGGAGGCAGAGACAAATGTATTTAAAAAGTAAATAAATTAAAAAAAAAAAGAAGTTCCTGGAACCCTATTTCAATTGATGGGACTGAGACTTTCTCTGTCCAACTGGAGCTGTGCAACTATATCCGTTCCCCATTGCATCTTCACTGACCAATCAGAGTAGCACCATTCTAACCAATCAGGACAGTGCCTTCTGGACCAATTGAACTGCGAGGAATTTAGCCTTCACTGGGACTGGGAACAACTTCTGCCCATATAAGTTAGCTTCTGAGAGCACACTCTTCCTTTCCAATTGTAGACTGAATCTCCCCAGATGGAGCTAAAACACTGAGGATGGAACACCAAAGATGTCTTGCCAGAACAGAATGAACAGACTGAACCAGAGCAGGTGAGCAGGCTAGAGCAGAGCAAAGCAGAGTAGAATTGTCTAGGTGGACAGGGGCTTCACCCCAGGGCTGCCTGGCCACTACGCTGTTCCACAGCTATGCTGCTCTATAATTACAAGCTGCAACACTAATGAGCTGTTCCAAAAAAATGATATTCTTACAGCAGTACTATATCACAGTTGAGCAATTTGCACTGAATAAAGTTTCCTTCTTCACTGCACCCCAAAGTGGGGATTCCTGCTCGTGTTGAACTGATGCCAATGACCACTAGTTGACAACATGCACTTACACATGTGCATACACATACACTAACACATGACACAGAAACAAACCTGGGAACCAGGGAGGAGCTGCTTCCTTCAGGCTACACACACCAGGCTCCTGCCCCATTGTCCAGCTGTAGAAAGCTGGCTCAGGAAGAATTCCCTCCAAGAGATGGAGCTCAGGATCTACACCCTGAAAATAAAAATAGAAAGAGAGGAAATACAATGGGCAAAGAACACCTAGCATTTGCCAAGGAGTAAATGAAATTTGTAAACACAGACTCATCTGGAAGCCAAGAAACACTTATAAAGTAATGAAAGGACCTGACCACACATGAAAGGGAAGTAAATAAGAAATGAAACCACAGAAACAGAGGCACCAGTGAATACAAACCAAAGACAAAGCTGAAAACAGAAACCTGGCTGAGGAAAAGTGAACAAAGTGAGGGGAACACATGAAAAGGATTGAAGAGAAGAAAAATAAGGATATGGAATATAAAAGACACTCAAGATATGCATCATACCCCTGAAAAAGAAACTGAATAAAATGTTAAAACTTTTCAATATGTAACTTTAGAAAAATTTCCATACATATTTAAATCTTCAAATAGAGCCCTGGCTAGTGTGGCTCAACGGATTGAGTGCTGGCCTGTGAACCAAAGGGTCACCAGTTTGATTCCCAGTGCAGGGCACATGCCTGAGTTGCAGGCCAGGTCTCCCATAGGGGCGTGCAACATGCAACCACACATTAATGTTTCTCTCCCTCTCTTGTCCCTCCCTTCCCTTCTCTAAAAATAAATAAATAAAATATTTAAAAAATAAAAAATAAATCTGCAAATAGAAAAAACATGCACACATATTTAAAAAATCACAGTCTTTGCCTTTTCAAACTTTTTGATTATTTGAATTATGGCCTCTAAAGTAGCACACAAATTCCAATGCCCTTGAAATCACACATAGCAGTGTAATGAATGAATCCACACGGCTACTCAAAGTACACAGCTATCACTACTGCCCACGGTCCATTGCCCCTTCCTGACTTTTCATTAGCTTGGGTTTAATTTACACTACATTTGATTTGGTATTATATGTAATTTCCCTAGCACTGTACCTCCTCTCTCCCAGAAATGCCATAGTAACCAGTGTGAGAACTCAAAGCCCAATAAAACCCAATGAACTGCTCCCTCCCTGCTGGACAGGGTAGATCTGGCCCTGACATGACACAGGGACACTGGCCACGGGGGAGCGGTGGGGATTTAGTCTTTGTTCTATTGAGGGTTTCAACTGAGGGAGACCCATCCACATTAGGGAGGGTAATTGTTTTACTCAAAGTACACTGATATAAATGTTAAACACCTTCACATAAACATCCAGAATCATTTTTGACAAAATATCGGCATCGTCGTCCAGCCAGGTTGAAACAGAATATTAACCATCACAACCTGAGAGAGAAGAGGCCAAATTGTCTTCTACAAAAAATCACAGCACACACCCAAAGACGTTTCTTAATTTCATAAAATGATGGTCCCACCCACCTTCCACTTGGCTAGCTGTCAGTGTAATCAGCAACACAAAACATCACCCAACAACAGCTTCTAGCCAGAGAAGATAACTTTGGGCTATATGCTGTCAGGGAAGCAGGCCCATGGGATATGAGGTCAACTTCACACTCACAATTAGAAACATATTGCAACAGCTGGGTGTGATAAAACAATTTCATTGGGAGAATCAAGATGGCAGAGGAGTGAGTGGAAGTCACACTGACCTCCTTCAAGGACCAATTTAGAATTACAACTAAATTGTGGAGAATCACCTGGAACAAACAAGTGAACAATAGCGAGAGAGGAGCCTTATAACCTTGGACAGACAGAAGAATCAGCTTTAGCAAGACCTAATGGTAGGGAGTGCGGTAGAGACTCAAGAACATTGGTGGGGTGCCCACGGGCAGCAACACCAAAAGGATATTGAAACGGCCAGTTGGATCACCCTGAGAACACCTGAGTCTAAACCATAAGTGGGGATCTCCATCCTATAGCACCAGAGCCCAAAAAGTACACAGATATCAGCCAGGTGCAAAAAGCAGCAGGGTTGCTCTCTGCTAGAGACAGGAGGTTGAAGACACAAAGAGCCCTTTAAAGGACCAATGCATAAATTTTTATTTGCAGCCACTTACCCAGGGCTCCGACAAAGGCTGGGGCAGAGTGGGCTAGAGATGCCTGAGGAGACACTGGGGAAGGAGGCTTTGGAGAGAGAACTGAGAGAGTAGCCAGAGGGATCCTGGTGGTGACTCGTTCTTGATACAGCAGTAGCCATGTTGCTCAGGCAGACCACTGAGCTGCACCAATGTGAGAGGACCCAATAGCCCCGCCCCCAGGAGGGACTCTGCCCTGGCCCGGTAGTGCTAAAGTGTGACTGCTGAGTACAGAGTGGCAGCCACAAATAGTAGATCTCTGGCTAAAACGGGCACAGAGTGGTCTGGAGACACTTAAGGAGAGACTGGAGACTGGAGTAGCCAGTGGGATTCTGGTGCTGATTCCTCACCCATACAGCAGGAGCCATCTGGCTCAGGCAGACCACTCCCCTTAGCTGCAGCAGTGTGAGGGCACCCAATAACCCCACCCCTAGGAGGGACTCTGTCCCATCTCGTGGTGTCTAAACCAGTCTGCTGAGTGAGAGTGACTAGATTAACAGTTGAAGGAGACAGCCACAGACAAGAGATTCCTGAAAGTCTCAAACAGGCTGCCTAAGGTCAGATAGGGTCAACATCTGAGATCATCAAAGGCAGATTCAGAAAGAAAAAACAGCGGTCTCCTACCATAGAAGTTCACACAACAAAGGCAGGAAATTAAGAGAGAGCAATTTAAGAAGTGAAAAAAAGAAGAGTCTCACAAATAATGGGAAGAAAAAGAAACACCCCCCAGTGAAAGGGAAAGGAGGAATCCCCAGAAAGAGAACCAAATGAAATAGAGGCAAGGGAACTATCAGATATTGAGTTCCAAACAATGGTCCTAAGGAAGATCAATGAGCTCAGTGACTTCAGAGAGGATTACCAAAATGACAGGGAAACTATAAGGAACTCACTGAAAATTATATCAGCATGAAAAAGGACATATAAACTATCAATAAGAGACAAGAGGAAATCAAGAATACAGTTTCTGAATTGAAGAACACAGTAGAAGGAATCCAAACCAGACTACATGAAGCAGAGGAACGAATCAGCGAGCTGGAGGATAAGGTAGAAAAAAGCTTCCAGAAAGAGCAAGAGAATGAAAAAAGACTCAAAAAGTATGAAAAGGCATTCAGGGAAATGCAGAGCAACCTGAAACATAACAACATCAGCATAATAGGGATACCAGAAGGAGAAGAGGAGCAAGTGATAGAGAACCTGTTTGAGAAAGTAATGATGGAAAACTTCCCTATTTTGAGGAAAGAAAAAGTCACACAAGCCCAGGAAGCACAGAGGGTCCCACTCAAGAGGAACCCAAGGAGGTCCACTCCAAGATTCAAATGGCAAATATCAAAGAGAAAGAGAGAATCCTAAACGAAGCAAGGGAGAAAGAGGTAGTAACATACAAGCGAGCCCCGGTACAGCTAGCAGCTGACTTCTCAATAGAAACACTGCAAGCCAGAAGGGAATGGCAAGAGATATTCCCAATAATGAAAAGCAAAGGCCTGCAACCGAGACTGCTCTACCCAGCAAGGCTCTCAATTAAAATGGAGGGTGAAGTAAGGAGTTTCCCAGACAAAAGAAGGCTAAAAGAATACACTTCTACCAAACCAGCACTGCAAGATATGCTAAAGGGGCTGATTTAAGATGAAGAAAAAGAGTCTATGAATATACCCAATTCCTTTCACAGTCACCAATACTTGATATTACCAATATTTTTAATACTTATTAATCTGATTGTGACAATGATGTGCTATTATGTTCCTTTATTATTTTTTGAAACTAAACCTGTTTTTGTATATTTCTTGCCCATTTCTATTGTTTTTAAAAAAGGCTTAAATGAATTTTTGGTATTCTTTATCCATTTTTTGATTAAATATTTGTAGAATTTTTTCCCTAAAGAACTATTAACCCTTTTATAGATGTGTTCCAAATACTCTCCTGTTGTATTACTTGTCCTTTAACTTTTCTTACAGGTATATTACTGTGCAGTCTTAAATGTTCAATATAGTCATATTGTCAATATTTTACTTTACAGCTTTTGGGTTTGAATATGTTACTTCAAGGTAAGAAAAATATTAGTTTGTATTTTCTCCTAAAACTCCTTAGATTTTACATACAGATTTTTAACTCACCTGAATGTTTTTTGTATAATGTGTGAAATAGGACTCTATATTTGTTTTGTTTCAAGTAATAGTGGTCCATGCACCTTATTTGTTGAATAAGCATTATTTTTTCCATTGATTTGAAATATGAATAGAGTCATATATTACATTGTTAGACAGATATATACATTTGTTTCTAGAATGCTCATTTTATTTCATTGATCTACTTGATAGTTTCTGTGCTGGTCATGTTGTTTTAATTGCTAAGACTTTATAATGGATTTAAATTTTTTAATAATTATAATGAATTTTGACATTAAAAAAATAAAATCAATTTTAAAAAAATTTAAGGAACTCCTACCTTTTGCGACAACATGGATAGAACTGGAGAATACTGTGCTAAGTGAAATAAGCCAGTCGGTAAAAGACAAATACCGTATGATCTCACCTATAAGTGGAATCTATTCAACAAAATAAACTAACAAACAAAATAAACCACAGGCATGGAAACATGGAACCGACTGAAACTGACTAGAAGGGATGGGGAAGGAGGACATAGGTGGAAAGAAGGTGAAGGGACTAAACAAAGAATATGTATGAATGACCCATGGACAATGGACAACAGAGTGGGAATTGACTGTGAGAGAGGGGGGCACAGTGGGATGAGTGGAGGAGGGCAAAGGGGGGGAAATTGAGACAACTGTAATAGAATAAACATGATTTAAAAATAAAAAATTTAAAAAAATAAAAAAATAAAAGTGAGGAGCACACATAGCTTGTAGGTTCCAGGAAAAAAAAAGAAAAAAGAATTTCATTGGCTGGTCCAACCACTGACTAATTAAAACAAATTCTCAGAGGTAGGGGCTATAGGCAGAGAAGGCTACAAAACTCTGCTATAGATTATCTTCCTTTAATTCCCACATTTAGCAAACCAAAAATTATTTGTATTCCCTATAATTACATTATTAGAAATATTTAAGACAACAGTTTGGACCCCATGGAGAGCTCCTTTTCCTTAATCTACCTCAGTTAACGCTATGAACTTATAAGAAATAGCCATAAGAAACATTATTCCATCTACTCACTGCAGGAATAGAAAAGGTCAGTTATATCCTGAGCTGGCTATTTGGTCCACCCAGTGCAGTGTGATATAGACCAGTTATATAATAAACTGACTTCCATCCACTCACTGAAAGGATGCAGCAGCCCATTAATGTAACAAACTGGCTATTATAAAAATTCACTGCAGAAATGCATGGCCTCTTACATAGTAAATTGGCTATTGCACCTACTAAGGCAGGAATACAGGAGTCTGATTATATAATAAACTGACCATTCCATCCACTCACTGCAGGGATGCATTTAGCCAGCTACATACTAAAGTTGCTAATAAAACCACTGACTGCAGGGAGGCAGTGGGCAGTTAAGTGGTAAATTAGCTATTCCATCCACTTGCTGCAAGGATGCCAAAGAACCTGGTTATTCCACAAACTCACTGCAGATATACAGTAGGCCAACTGAATAGTCTCCTCACTGCAGGGATGCAGTAGGCCAGTTACATAGGAAACTGGTAATTCTACACACTGACTACAGGGATGCAATAGGTATGTTACATAATAAGCTGGCTATTTTATCCACCCACTGCAGTGGTGCAGAGGCCGATTATAGAGTAAACAAGCTCTTCCACACACTCACTGCATGGATATAGTAGTCGTGTTACATAATAAACTGAATATTCCATCTACTCTCTAAAGGGATGCTGTTAGCTGGTTACAAAATAAAATGAGTATTCCATTTACTACCTGCCAGGATAGGGTAGGCATGTTATGTAGTAAACTGGCTATTCTACCCGCTTGCTGCAGGGATAGAGTGAGCCAATTACATAAAAACTGTTAATTCCACTATGGACTACAGGGATGCAGTAGCCCAGTCATGTAGTAAACTGGCTATTCCATCCACTCACTGCAAGGATGTACTAGAACAGTTACATAGCAAACTGGCTATTTCACTAACTCACTAAAGGGATGCAGTAGCCTGGTTATACAGCAAATGGCTATTCCACCCACTAACTGCAGGGAAGCAGTAGGTAGGTTATGTAGTAAACTAACTATTCCATCCATGCACTGCAGGGATGCAGTAAGCCAGTTACACAGTAAATTGGCCATCCCATGTAGTCACTGCAGGGACGAAACAGGCTGTTAACATAAAGTGGCTCTGCCATTCACTTACTGCAGGGATGCAATAAGTAGACTACATAGTAAACTGACTATTCCTTCCACTAACTATAGGGATGCAGCAGGCTTGTTACAGAGTAAACTGACTGGGGATGCTATAATAAACTGCTGTTCCATCCACTCACTGTACGGGTGCAGTTAGGCCAGCTGTCCACACTGTATGATATCTGCTTTAAAGACCAATGGAAGAACTCTTACACCTACCCATTGGAAAAATTATCACAGAGATTCAATGACTTCCATAAGTGGGTATGATCTGCCATTTGCTTTGATTGCCAGATCATATGTCTCCATTTTGTCTGCTGACCTTGTATCCTGAATTAAAATTATTTTCCTATCCTTACTGTCTTGGCCCAACTTTTTATTTGAAATCTATTAATTTGAAGTTTTTGTGTCATATATTGCTTAAATATTCTGAAATTCTCTTTGGATAGAGATGGAATGCCAGTATAAAATAGAAACATTTTATAAGTAAAAACAAAACCATAATGTTTTAGAATGGCAAGGAACCTCAGAAATAGATTACGTAACTCAATCCTCCACATTTTAAAGACCAAAAACAAGATAAGAGCCCTGGCTGGTGTGGCTCAGGGAACTGAGCACCAACCTGCAAATCAAAAGGTTGCCAGTTCAATTCCCAGTCAGGGCATATGCCAGGGTTGCGGGCCAGGTCCCCAGTAGAGGGCACGCGAGGGGCAACCACACATTGATGTTTTTCTCTTTCTCTTTCTCCCTTCCTTCCCCTCCCTCTATAAATAAATAAAATCTGTATTTAAGAAAACAAGAAACACAAAACAAGAAAGGCTAAGAAATTAATTGTAGCCAAAGGTCGCGCAGGTTGAACCACAAAGCCAGAACTAAAGGAACCTGACTCGTGAACCATCTCTAGCACTCCAGTTATATTCCATTCCTGAGTTTAGAGTGGAGTTCCAACCTTGCCATCACTCCAGCCAATCCCTGAACCATCTTTGGAAATAAGTGCTACCTCTGGCCAAGCATTCACCTCAATTTTAGCCAGATCTTTTGACTGGCTGATTTTTCAAACAGGCTGCTTAAAGAACCTGCCTCTGAGCTCTAAGTTTCAATTGTTTCTGCTATTACGAAATATAGAGTGTTAAAAGAATTATGAAACAATAGGTATAGCATGATACTATTTAGTGTAATAAAAACAAATGTTTCTACTAGTATAGAAAAAAAGATGTAGAACACAAAATGTTTGTAGCATTTATAGTGCTATTACTAAATGGTGAGATTATAGGTAATTTTTTCCTTTTGGCTTATCTGTATTTTTATATTTTTCCTCCAATAATCATAAGGAGTTGCATAACTGTTTAAAAGACAAAAATAATAAATAAAAACACCACAATTTATTAAGTATATACTGGCAGGTTGCCCCAATCTGATGAGTCATAGTCCAAGTTCATGAGGCTATTTGTGAGGCTGGGGGTGTGGCATTGCAGGATTCTTATTGGGAGCCCATTTCCCCTGGGCTCTGATCCTCCTGGGGCTTGTTTCTGATTGGTTACAAGAAAACATGTAACTTTTGCAGAAGAAGAGACAAGGAGCTTATTTTCAACATGAATTAGCAAGAATGAAGAACTTAAATTCCAATTTTCCTTTTAAAATAGCCTTCCTGCCCAAAATAGGCAAACATCCTTCCATTTACAGGCTGTGGCTTCTTTAAAAGAAAAGTTTCAACCTATAGCCACCACAGCAATCAAAACTCAGATCACTTGCTAAGGATCAGCAAACCAGTTTTGGTCATAAAAGGTCATTTTTGTAATCCCTGAGCTCATCACTGGCCTTTTAACAATGTAAACATACATAAACACTAACAGGAGCCCTAAAGATGTTGGGGTATGTCCTACTCCAGGGAAATGCCCTTGAACATGCAAAGCTGTACGCTTGTCATCTGCTACATGGACAATAAAAATGATGTTGCAAAGCAGAGCTCTGCCATCAGCAGGGCATTCTGGGGGAGCCACTGCCTCCTGGCCAACTTCCCTGGCAAATTCATCCCAAGCCTTTGTTGTAATAATCTGTTATAGTCATTTGGTGCCATTCCTTTCTATGTTGTTTTGCATACTAAATATGAAGAGGCCTTGTTGGTATTCCAACAAATCTGTCCTCTTCACCATCTCTTTTAGGGAAAAAAGAAGTGCCCCAGAATAGGCTTGGAAGAGCAATAAATCTTACTCTTAGCAATTATTAAACATTTCTTAATGCCCCGTGAAAATACTCTAAAATATCAACAAAAAGCAACGGTCCAATGTCCAGCTGTACACCGCAAGTCAAATCTTTGGGGGAAAAAAAAATCTTTGCAAACTGACTTCAGGCCTGCAAGTATGTCCTTTCCTAGTCAGTTTTCGCTGTACCTTAGTTTAGTAAAAATGACAAAATTCTCTATGGTCAAGAGCAAAAGAATAAGTAACGCTGGCAGAAGGGGGCTGGTCAAGCCTATGATATACCTATCAAACTGAAAACTACCACTGATATTGGAGCATATTTACTGAGTTGGAGATGTTGAAAAACTTACAAATGCTGATGAATGAAACAGAAAAGCCACAAAACTGTACATGCAATATACTTCCTAAAAATGTGTATACAGCCCAGGCCAGTGTGGCTCAGTTGGTTGGGCATTCTCTGACAAACCATAAGGTCACCAGTCCATTTCCCAGTCAAGGCACATGCCTGGGTTATGGGTTCATTCCCAGTCAGGGTTCATACAAGAGGCAACTGATGGAAGTTTCTCACATCCATGATCCTCCCACTCTTTCTCCTTCCCTTCCTCTCTCTCTAGAATCAATAAAAATAAATAAACAAAAATGTGTATGTATATTTAGAAGTAGAAAAAGATCTGCAAAGACATACATCTATTTTTAATATAGATAAAAGTAATAAAGATACCAATGACTCTTGTGCATTTTGTATTTTTCTACATAAACACATTTTTGCAAAATATGAAAAGTATCAACTACTTAATCCCCGTTAATTGTACACTAAGTTGTTGAAGAAAGGTGTGGAAACCTCAAAAGAGTCTTCTTTGCAGGCTTCTGACCCCTTCTGCTTTAGGAAACACCTCTAACGATTTTCTTCTAATCACTGCCTTGCCAAATAAAATAAAAATAAAAATAAATTCCAATTCCTTGCAAATGACTGAGTTCACCTGCTTCAACCCATAAAATACCCAGGCCTGGTTTCAGTACCCCTTTCTCTCACACACTACTGCAGAAAAACAACGGCTGAGGGCGAGAACCGGAGGAAGCCCCAACTCCGGAAAATTCCGCCAGGATTCCAGAGCTCAGGAACTGCAGGAAGCAGCGGACCTCTGCAAAGCCACGTTCCTCGCGCAAACGGGCTGGGCGATCGGCCTCGACCACACTCACCACTGGGAAAATGCACGGGTTTGGGGGTAGGAGAGAAGGCCTTGCGCGAGGCTCCTCTGGGCAAGAGGCCAGTGAGTGGGTCTCCAATGGGCTGCGGGCATGAACAGGGTGACCATGCTTAATTTTGATTCACTACGTAGGAATCGGTCCAGTTGCCTCTTTTGGGGCAGAGGTGCAACGCTTTGCTGTTATATCTCTGGAACCTCTGGTTCAAGAAAACCGGCGCAAGGGCTCCTTTTTCTCTGGAGGGGCAGCAGGGGCGGGGATCCCAGGCAGGGAAACCCTCCTCTGGTGGCAGCCCTCACCTTGCGGGTTGCGCTCGCAGTAATCCTGCTGCATGCGCATCCAGCGGCCCACCAGGTCGTCGGGCACCACGTGCGCCAAAGCGAAACAGTCGCGGGACGTAGCCAAGTTGCGGTCCTTAACCAGCGTGAAGTGCAGGTCCCGATGGAAGTTCTTCCGAACCTCGGCCACGTCGCCCAGACCCGCGATCCCGCGCATACTGATCTTCTTTCGTTTTCCTCTGTCCGTCGCTCCATCCATCGCGCCGACCCAGGAGGGAGAGGAAAGAGGAGGAGAAACATGACCACCAAAGACACTGAGGAGCCTCAGGCGCCTAGGACTTCAGGGACACCGGCTAGCACGAGCAGCGCGTGCACCGTGCGCCGGGGGCAAAACCGAGGGCGAGGCGGGTCACTGGGGCGAGGCAGGGCCATGGAAGAAACAGGCGTCAGGATAGGGGTGGCCTCTCAGAGAGGCAAGACCACGGGGCGTGGTCTTAATCCTTCGAACCGGGCGGTGGCTTCGGGTTTTACAGGTGATAACCTGAAGTGACCTACACACCGCCACCCAAAGTGGAGTCTGACCCAAGTTAGCTAAGCCCGGCAGAAGTGGGAGACCACTGGAGGAGCTGGACGTCTCAGGAATCGAAGCTATAGTCCTGTTTGCCCCATCCCTCCAGAGCAGACAGGGGAAAGACGCCCCCCTCCAAACCCCTAACCGCTTTTGAGATTTCTGGGGCCTGCATCCTTCACCTGCCCAGGGTCACCAGGTGCCCCCAAGCCAGAGTACCGCGTGTTCTCGTGTGGCCATTAAGGGAAACCGAATACACACTTGAGAGGCAGCCACCAAACACCTGCCTAGTGGTCTGACTCTAATTGAGGTCCCGGGTAGCTCTGAAAATACCAGCTAAGAAAGTAAACGTTTATACTGAGAAAGTGCCAGCCTGTCTGCAGTCCTGAGGCTAGGCTAACAGACACTACTGGTGAACAAGAGACAACGTTCTTCAAGGCATACTGTGGTCCTGAAGTGTCGCAATGACTCTTTCTCTGAGTGACCACCGCTTCCTTACCCACAGAAAAAAACTTGTTCCCTAAATCATGGGCCTCAAACACTTCGCCCTTTAGGTCAGAAAGGACACAACTCTCTAGAGGATCTGGATCACTCACAGAAAGCAACCTCCTCCATCCTACCCCAGTGTGAGCTTCAGATAAGTGGTTTCTGGAAAGAGCTTTCCACATCTGCCTAACATGGTTCCCAAGGAAACGGGCTGGGCCCACTCTGCACACAGCCTTGCCTTGTTCTAAGCCTGTGGGAACACTGCTTAAGTGTCATCTAGACCCCTTCTTTTGGCAAACCACATAGGAACTCTTTTTTTCCTTTGGGAAAAGAACCCTGTCTTTGCCTGATCCCTCATTGCAGTGAGTCAGTAAACCCAATTTAGGGGGACTGCAGGTTTTCCCCTGGTGGCTTTAGGCTGATGAGCTGCAAAGGTTACCAACTTACAGGGAGGTCAAAATTGTCAGCTGATGTCATAAATGTCCAGCTGCAGTTTTCCTCATGTGATGCTTCTAAGTTATGTTCTTATCTAGACCCTCTTACAGCTGCAGACTTCTCAAGGGATAATTTACCTGGAATGCCCTCTATGCGCCACAGTTCCACATACTTATCAGCTTTAGCTCTTGAATTCTGTCCCGCAGTAACTATTCTCTCAGTATTTAAGCTAACAAGATGCAATTTTGCTTACTGACGACAGGACTGGGAGTCTCTGTGATGTTGCCAAACTTGGCTGGAGGATCTTCAGATCAATGCAACCTGAGTTATCTGGCAATTCATGAAGAGTTATAAAATATGTGTCCTATGGCAGGTTGTACTACTTTGGAGCATCGATTTCAAGGAAAGACTTAAAAAAGTGTACAGAGATGTTTTCTGCTGTGCTATAGGTTATACTTACAACTGGCTAAAGGTCAAGAAATGGAAGTTAATGTTATTTATTCGTACTGTGCTCTCTACGTGTATTAACTCCTAATCCCTACAAATAGCCTCCTATGACCCTCACTTGATGATGCAGAAGTGCAACTGCAGAGAATTTAAAATGCTTCCTTCCCTAAGTTCACAATCTAGTAAAGGAAACCATCAGGATTCACCCCAGGCCACATCCTGCTCCACTGCATGAGCCCCACACAATTTCTCTTTACTCAAAGTTAATATCAGAAACTAGCTAAAGGGAATGACATTTTTCACAACTAACTAGGAAGGTGTAAAGGACAATACAATAATGATAAATAAAAAGTCAGAAATAAGGAGGATGTAGTACAGAAATGACAGTAATATTTTTATTATTTAAATAGACACATGAAACAACTGTGTTGGAAACAGGTTTATATGAAAACATAAGCACTGGTTATTACTGAATGGCAGAATTATCAGGAGGAATTACTGTTTTCCTTATACTTTTTGTATTTCCTGTTTCTTCTATTTCTTTCATAATTAGAATAAATGTAAGAAAAACGGGGGCCAAGACTACAATAAATGTTGCTGACTTAAGAACTATGTGTTCTCTCTTACTGGAATTGACTTTCAGTTCTTTCTCACTCTGGGTTGAATAAAATTTAAATATTTCTATCCATCCTTCATGGCTATACTTCCTTTATGAACTGTTTCATGATTCTCCCATCCAGATGTAATTTCTCCCTCCTGAGAGCTCTATGGTCCTTTCCCCTCTATGATGTCATTTAGTGCAGTCTTGAATCTTCATAATGCATGTGGTCGAAGCAGGGAGAAGCCTTTTTACCATTGTGTCTTCTCATTTTCCCCTGGCCACTAATATCACTGGAATGAATAAATGAACCTCCTGAGCATCTGAGCCGTTTTCAGGTAAATTGTTTTTAGATGGTTTTAAGTTCTGCGAAGAAATGCAAGTTAAGTAGCTAGTTGATAGGTGATATTTGAATTGAAATGAAAAAAAAATAGCCCTGGCTGGTGTGGCTCAGTGGATTGAGTGCCAGCCTGCGAACCAAGGGGTCGCCAATTCAATTCCCAGTCAGGGCACATGCCTGGGTTGCAGGTCAGGTCTTCAGCAGGGGGTGTGCGAGAAGCAGCCACACATTGATGTTTCTCCCTCCCTTCCCCTGCCTCTAAAAGTAAATAAATAAAATCTTTTTTAAAAATTTAAAAAATGAGTGAATAAATCTGGGGGAATGGCAAGTGCAAACGTCCTGAGGTGGGTGCCCACTTGGAAAGTTTGCAGAATAGAAAAGTCTATTATTAGTAGGTTGAGCAAAGAGAACACCTGAGGGTTACCAGAATATGCCACTCCCCAAAATGCCAATTTGACATATATTACTTTAAGCCAAAGGCCATTGAGAAACAGCAGAAGCAGGAAAAACTAAAATCTGGATACAAGTTTTCCTTTTGTAAAGGAAATTTCCATTTTACATTTATAAATGTGTATGTAAATGGAAATCTCCATTTGTCACTACAAATGGAGATTTGTAGTGGTGTTTTCCTCTCCCACCTTAACTCTACCTATAAAACCTTACTAATAGTAATAACTAATTGTGATAACTACTTATGGTGTCAGATGGGTAGTAGACTTATGAGAGTGATCACTTCATAAGGTATATAAATGTCTCAACACTATGTTGTACACCTGAAACTAATATACTATTGTATGTCAACTCTAATTGAAAAACACATTTTAGAAATTAAACTTACTAAACATTTGTTTACCATACTTCTCTTGGTCACCTTCCCATAACTTGTTCCCTCTTCCCAGAAGACCCAAATGACTTTTCCTTTGATTTAGTCTAAGATGATATATCACCCAAGTTTTAAACACTCCTTTGAGTTACTGAACTCTGGGTATTCTCATGTGCATGCGCAATGAACATACTAATACACTTAGGTTTGTTTTCCTCTTGTTAATCTGTCTTTGGCCATTCAAATTGACAGGGCCCCAGATGGAGAATTTGAGATGGGTTGAGAAAAAGACTTTTTCCTTCCCTACACAACCAAGAGGTGAATTCATATGGGTGGTGGGGGGCCCAGTCAAGAGGCTAGGTCAATCCTAGTGAGGAATCTGAGTTTTATCTTCCATTTTTAACAACAGAACTGTGCAGAGGTGTCCAACCTTTTGGTGTCTCTGGGCCACGCTGGAAAAAGAAGAGTTGTCTTGGGCCACACAATAAATACATTGCAACATGCAATCACAAAAAAATCTCATGTTTTAATTCATCACTCTGTGTTCAGCCACATTCATAGCCAGCCTGGGACACATGCAGCCCGTAGGCCACAGGTTGGACACTCCTCCTAGGCCTCCAGAACAGGCAAATATGTAAGAAAGTAGACTGATTTGCCCCTCCAAGAAAAAGAACATTTCTTCTGACAGCCTAACTCAGCTGTGACCAGGTCAGTTGCAACTGCTTGCCTGTCAGGAAGGAGGCTGTGAGGCAATTCAAGCCACCTTGTTGCAGACTGACTAGTTTCCTATAATCCCTATCTTCTCTTTTCGGGAGACCATTTTGAACAATTTATTTACTAATACATGACAGGTGTTGGTCCAGTTTGTTACTGTTGTAGTGAGCTAGTCAGTGTTGTTGGAGATATTACCTTTACATTTTTTAAAACACATATTTAAGACTGTCTATAGCTATCCCCTGCCTCAGAAACAGAGATGAAAAATGTGGAATGAAATGCTATGGGAGTTTGAGGAAACTGTGTGGAAAACAGACATTTTTGGTGGGCTACGTTTAAGCTTCTTGAGGACTTGATGACTATCTCATTGATCTTAAGGGTTCAATAGATATTGGATAACTGTGTCTCAGAAGCATCACCAGCTCTTGGTAAGACTGCACAGGGCAAGGGTCAAGACTGGGATAACTGCGACACTGCTGGCTGATCTGTGCTGGTCAATTAAGTGTTTGCAAATGAACACAGACTTGGCCTTTCAGGGAGAAAGGCAAATAACAAAAGCATTATTTCTGAGAGGCTGGTAATTATAAAGCTCAACAGAATGAAGAACACCAGCTAGAATGACATTATGGAATTAGTGCTTTCCCTTCACTGGGGAAGGTAAACAGACATTCTTAGTGACATTAATGTGTTTTAACATGTTGATATTAAAAAAAAAAACAAACCAACCATGAGACCAGAGTGATAATAAAAGGAAATAAAAACAGTGTGGAGAAGAAGGAAGAACTTCTCTACTGAAGGATGCCAAGTAAATGTAGGAGTGGATGCTAGAATTACTGGACAAAGGCTTTAAGGGAACAGGATATTCATGGTCTTA